TGAAGGGCTCTTCAAAAAGTTCAGTGGCATTTTGATTGGCGCATTTAGGTCATTACTCATAGCGCAGTCATTAATTTTCTTGTTCATTCTTCCAATATTTCTGTTCAAGACAGGAAAAAGAGCAAAGTTGGTCTGCTATTTCAAGAAATTGGATAGTACAAATGGATAATGCATTCAGCGCCTCATAAATTCAGCAATTTATTATTATATTTGATTGTTGTTATTATCTTTGTAGTTCATGTTTTAATTCATTGATGCTCGAAACTGTATTCAATCAAGTATCAAGACTCTAGTTTTAATAAACATCATATTAAAGATGATTGATAAAATAAGAATGATTTGTAAAAACATTCCCTTGAAAATGAATACATTCGATAGTGTGAAAACAGCGATCTGTCCCGATTTGTATCAGTATTATTCTATCACACTTTGAACTGTTTAGTTAATATGTACAATTCAACATCAAAAGAAACAAATACAATTTTAATATCTTAATATATCTTAGGCTACAATGCCTTCTCAAAATACAAAATATGTATCAAGACAATGGTTGAAACGCACTTCTCCGGTAAATATATTCTTTAGGAAGTAATCATGAAATAGGAATATCCTTTCTCGAATTATCCACTCTGGCGCCATAGCTTACTTTACATATTATCTTCAGATGACGAGCAGAGATTTGAAATGAGCTTGATATCGAATCAATACCAACGGGTGTCACAAAGGCTGGAAATGTCACTACTCAACGAAAAAAAGGGAAAGGAAAAAGCAAAATACGGGTAGAAAACGGGGAATTAGCGAGGGGATGAGTAATTGTGACGTCATATAAGACGTATGCTAAATCCATTCAATGCGTTTGCATCTCGGGGAGCTAATTTCACCACCGCCATCTTAGTTTCATACGCGCTATAGATTTGGCATTGACGATGGTTTCTGTTTTCTCCCTACTTACACTTCAAATGGACCCTCATGCCTCAAATTACACTTGAACTTGACAGAATATTTGTCATAAGTAGGTTGATTTATGCCCAAGCTGTATAATTTATTACTAAATATCCTATCCTTTTCCTAAACACACGGAGTTAATATGAGTACATTTTTTTGCATCCATAAAATCTAGCAAATACATTTCACCCAATATGTCTATGCTTTTTTGGATGAACATGTGGCTATTGGACTTCATCTTTACAAACACATGTTCTTTTGAAAATTATATAAACAATTTTTCTTTTGTTATACTTGCTATAAAGCAGTCATGTTATAATACAGTCTATTCTTCATAATAGTACCTGTGATAAAGATAAACAAATAAACGTATAGATTATTATTTTTTTTAAATAAAAAGACTAAATCATTACCAAACTAAATGGGGCAGAGTATGTTAGTAGCTTCCTGATTCCTCGTCCTGAAATTAACTCTATCTTTACGAAAGGCCTTTGTTCGACAACAACAACAAAACAAATATTTCTTGTTTGCCCTAAAATCGAATCGTCATTATCTTTAAATTATTCAAAGAGTTATATTGCTAATCAAAGGCATCCAAAATATTCAAGGAATTGACAAGGCGACAATTCATACCCGGACAATGATTTATTTGAGTCTTTTAGATCTTCCTTTGTATATTGATGACAGAATTACATTTACAATAAAGTGTCAACATTTGTACTCTTAAATCCCCACTGCACTAATTTGGCCAGGAGGAATTAGACCTCCCTGCATGATCACTGACAAGTGGTTATCTCATCAAATCAGCTCTCAAGTAACATAAGAAAAAGGGGAGCATGGGGGACCAATGGTCGCCGATTAGGAATTGGCGGATCCAGGGGGGAAACGTGTAAAAACACGTTAATTTTACCTTTTTTTTTAGATGGGCCCCCTCCCCTGGCGCTCAAGGGGGGGTGCGATTTTTCAAATTTTCGAGGACCCCCAAAAAAAATTAAAAATTGTAGCTATAAGTAGTGCAGTGGGGCTTTAAAAGATTACGAAACTTAACAGAGACAGCAGACCCCCTGAAGAACATTTGCCCGTACGCCCATGTTGATGGCATAACAAAAATCATTTAGACTTGACTTTAACAGTGTGCAGATCACGTACAATACCAACCAAGACCGTATGTCCATACTAACTTGTCCTTCCAGCATGACCAGTATAATTAAGAAAGCCGTAAGGTCGTAAATATTTGATTTCATACACCAATGCGACCAGTTACTCCTTTTAACATGTAAACCCCACCATTATGTCCGTGTTTATTTAACAGATTTGTCTGTCGTGACTTACATTTAGAGATATGGCGCATAAACTTGCTTGATAAACATGGGAGGGGGGCAGAGACGGGGAAGGAGGGCGTGACCTATAAGATCCCAGAATGACAAAGGATAAATGATTATTTTAATGAATATTTCTTTACCGTGAAGTGTGAGTTTCCAAATCAAATTATTTCCTTTTATAAAATGTGGTAAATTTATGTTCTAAGACAAAAGTATTGGTAACTCTTGATCCATAATTTCAATATGGATGCACTTGAAGAACTTTTCTTGTTATCATGTTTTTTGAACATTTCTGCTGTGATATTCCTCCGAATGGGAAAGGAGATAATGTGATCACTCTCACATTTGTGTCAACTTTTCCTGAACTCTCCTGAATCTCTTTTTTAAAAAAATTCTGAGTTAAATCATCGAAAAATGTTGTAATTCATTTAATGTCAATCATCATAGGCAATTTCACAAATTAATATCTCCTATCAAAATGGCATTAGCATACTACCGTGCGGGTGACGAGATCATTACCGAATTGAAATTTGATAATTAGGTCGTGTTTATTTTGTTTTCGTATAGAAGTGACTCGATGCCAATGTCTTAAAGAGAGGGAGCGGGAGACAAATAGAGGGAGAGAGAGAGGGGAGAGAGGAGAGAGAGAGAGAGAGAGAGAGTATGTAATGTAAATAACTTTACTTCCTTATTGGACATGACGCGCTCTTAATTTAAAGCATTAAACAATCATTAGTATCGCAATTTGAATGCATTGGAACAAGAAAATGTGATTATAATAGGTTTACAAGGGTGGTTTTTTTTTAGATTGATCTTTTTCCATACTTTCACATCGTTTAGATAAATAAAGTAGGGTACAAAATACATGAGGGCAAGCCAGAATATAGAATTTTAACTATAAAAACAGAAGCGTGATGCAGTACGTTCAAAGAAAGAGCATACAAGCCATTTACAATTGTACTACTTCATTATAAATTGAATTCAAATTGTATTGGGATGATTGCGATTTGATCCCATTTTCTGCTACAATGCACAAGTAGAAAACTGTTTAAGGAGTAATGTTAACAATGTTAACATACTTGGTGCATATTAAACATATAAATTGCATACATAAGATAAACGAGGCATATTCAAGCGTAAGCCTGAAACTAGTTTACCTTGCAGCATTCTGTTTTAGCTAGAAACAAATTAAAGAAGAAAATAAATTAGCTAAGACGAATAACTATATCTCCAACATCATTCCGTGCTGTATTCTAACAAGGTGAGAGAGTGAGAGAGAGAGAGAGAGAGAGAATATGTAATATTAATGATTATGAGTAAATAAACGAGTATAAATGACTGAATAAATGAGTTTGATCATAAGAATAAATAGTTTAAATTCCTTTAAATATACAAAGGGTTGGAATCTAGTTTTATTTATTTCCTAGGTTGCAAATCTGTTCCTATTTTTTGTAGGGGGGTCACGAAAAAGGAGAGAATGTGGACATAAAATATTGAATATTCGGATAGTGAAAATAAAAGCAAATTCCAAAAACATTTTGTAATAGGAAGGGGATGTGCTTAAAGGGCGAAAGGGACGATATATATATATATATATATCAAGAGCGCATAACGGCTATGGCATTCTGTTTTGGCGCAACAAGATTCTTTCCTTCTTTTGTTTGGGGGGGGGGGTGGGAGTGACCTGTTACCACCACACCGTGAAAATGTTTCCTAAACAATGTATTTTATTATTGCAATTTATGTTAAATCCAAAATGTCAATGTACAATGTATTCAGTTTGGTTAAGAATGATTTGTACAATAATGTATTTGATTTGAGAGAAAATTATGATTTTTTTTTTTTATGATGTGAACGGGGCCTTAAAGTACAATGCATTCATCGCATATAATACTCATCGCCATGAGCAACCGTTACCAATGATTGCTCAGTCATAATGCTTGCAGTCGTCCCCCGATGACACTTGTTGATTCAAAATGGGGGAAATCCTTTGCTAATCGTCTGCTTCCCTTTTCGGCTTCATAGCGTTAATCGAGGAAGTGACTATTTGTAGTTCGATGAACTGAGCTATTGTACTGCGCGACTCTTTTTGTTGATGTGTGGAAGATAAAACGCAGCGCGAATGTTGTGACATCGTTGATAAACCTCAGTCGAACTGTAACAGGACTTCACCATCTTTGTGATCATACCTTTAAAAAACAAAGAAATCAAAGAGAGGGTTGAGTTCTACAGAAATGTAGGACAAAATTGTGAGCTTTCCTAATCATTGTAATGTCAGTTTGGAAAAATGTCATAGTAGAATTGTCTCTCGAATTCGAAATTAACGGGCAATATCTGAACAATTTGGTTCAGAAATTTGTGTGGAGTCCCATATACCATATGTTATATTATATAACCTCATTCAGAAATATGATAATGGCAAATATTGAACACAAACAGGGCACGAAATGAGGGTAATGTTCTTTCTTGTAAAATATTCGCAAACGAACCTCAAACACGGTGGCCCGAATTCACAAAGGAGGTGTGTCGACAAACCTTGGTTTTCGTGCGTCATATGACGCGTTTTTACGCGTTTTTTTTTTACAAACCTAGTCTGTAAAATCGCGTCGAAACGCGTCATAATTATGACGCACGAAAATCAAGGTTTGTCGACAAACCTCCTTTGTGAATTCGGGCCAGAGAGAGCGACATAAATACAAATACTTATGATTTCGTTATTTTTTTCTTCTTCAGGTTACTAGTTGGTGCACCCAGAGCACAGACCGACCAGCCGGGTGTAGACGCAGGGGGCGCCCTCTATAAGTGCCCATTGACATCATTATCGACCTATGAGGACTGCCATCAAGTGACCATAGACCCCGAAGGTAAAACTAGCTGACTCATCTAATCGATGTTTTACAATGAGATATCAAACCTGGTGAGGAGGTGCCCTGTATGAAGATCAAGTGTGTGTGATCATCATTAAAGGTGACAATCACCCCTCCCCCCCCCCGAAAAAAACGGAAATGAATAAATAAATAACACGATCGCAAGTGCTCGAAACACCTACTTTAAAGCCCGTCTGTACTAGTTTTGACCAGGGGGATTAGACCACCCTGCAAAGTCACTGACAGGTAGTTATCTCATCAAATCAGCTCTCAATTAACATAAGAAAAAGGGGCTCATGGGAGACCAATAGGCATTGTTTGCCATACAGAGGGCACAAGTAGCTATAATTAGTACAGTGGGGCTTTAAGCAATTTGAATATATAGCATTGCGCCTCAAATTTTGAAATGTGCGAACACGACAATGACGTATTACGTGATCCGAACATGATTTTTTTTTTTTTTTTTTTTTTGGATGTACAATAGGGTATTGATGTTGCCCTTGGGTTATGGAAACTAGTTCGTGTTTAATAAGTAGATGAATAAATAGATCAAATGAAAGATCGTACTCTAAACTGTATCAACATACACATGGATAAAGATAGATGGCCATTAATGTTAAAAAGAAGAAAAGAGACATAAAGAGAGAGAGGGGTTATGTTTAAGGAGATATTTCAGGTTGATACAAAGAATTATGAAATACAGTCATTGCCTTTTGTCGCCAATAAATGAGCGCCTTGGGCTATGGTCGCAACACGTATCTCTCGCTCTTACCCCACTTGCTATGGAACAAGATGAATATCTTACCTAGCTTATTTTTGTACGCCGCTTTCATTTCAATTCCATTAACTCATAGCCTTCATCAAGGCTGCATGCTCGCTATTGTTATTATAATAGTGCTTTGTACACGCGAGCAAGCTACTGTTACTCTGCTTCTTGCATTATTGCACGCATTCGTAATAGCAGTTATTGTTCATGCCCATTGGACTGTGCCTAGTGTTTTGCACGCGCTATTGGTAGTACCATCGCGTTAAACTGGGGGATTTGTGGCTTGGCACAATGTGGATTAACCCTGTGGCAAGATAAGAGTAAACTCGCATTTTCATATTTTAGTCAATATAACGTAAATTCTTCACTTTTCATGCAGGTAATGTCATGGAAAACGGGGAAGAAATGACAAACAAATCTGGTCAAATGTTTGGAGCCACCGTGCACAGCGGAGGAGCGGACAGCCCAGTGGTAGTACGTATAATATTACTTAATTATAATTTATCATGATGATGATAGTAGATGCATGTTAGATAGCCGCAACTACACTATTATAATGCACAATGTTTCTCAGGCTTTGAAATCTGTATAAAAAAATACTAAAAAGAATTCCAGGCATTTGAAAGTTAAGTATTTATAAAGAAAATAGAAAAGGGAGCAGAATTAGCGAGAAGGGACAATTGAACTCGTATCAGGATGAATTAGCTATTTCATTCCAAAAGTCAGACGGCAGGGCATGTTGGGTAGACAAGAGAAGAGACTGTAATGATACATTCAAACCTGGTTTAGCGACCACCTGTCTACAAAGACCACATTTTTTGTTTCCCTTGGGTGGTCTTTATAAACACGCTCACTGTATTAGGCTGTTGATATCAACATGTATGTTCTTTCATTAAACTAGAACCTGCCTGTTTGATGTTTAGAGGAGTAAAGATGATAACTATACAGAAGATAGTCTTTTAGGTTTATGCAAAACGGTCCGATAATAATATTCCAGCCAGGCGCCATCTTAACAAGCGCATACTCGCTCATCCAACCACATTAACTTTCGCATCCTACCGGGTACCCATTTAACACCTGGGTGGAGAGTGACAAGTAGATTGTCCTTCTTGATAAAGGACATTAGTGCTGCGGCGGGATTCGAACCCCGTACCTTGTGATCTGCAGTCGGGTGACTTATCCACTTGACCACAACACCTCTCGCTATATGTTCAAAAAGATATTTGCTCCTAGATTCCACAAGTAAAATATTCAGTCCGAGAGGGGTTCATTATTTGTCTCTCATTTGATACAGGTGTGTCGACCCCTTTACACGTGGCTTGGTTATCCACCGTCTTCGCCATTGACGATGAGGAACCCAGTTGGTGGCTGCATAATAACCAAACGCAACTTTACAGAGATTCATGAATACACACCCTGCTTGGATCCTGGTGAGTAAAACAAGCCAAAATGTTTCAACTATAGACCAAAACGATGGTCATGATGGTCAAAGCTAACGTGGGCGGGGCGCCTAACTGGTCGTCCCATGCAACCCTCCCCCTCCCCTATCGCCTCTCAAATACGCACAAACACACACCTATTGAAAAGGGGTAATGGAAAGAAAGGGAGGCTATTGAGCGAAAGGGTGAAATTAAACACAAAATATCTTCTAGGTTTTCCGTTTTCATCTCAACAGTCATTACAATTGAGAAACGAAATAGATAAGACGTACATACATATATTTGTTACTCTACCACCTAACATGCATATTTTCAAAAATGTATGACATTTTATTTCCATAAATATACATGGTAAACAGTTCAGCATTACCTTATATCAGGTTCTTTTAAATGCCATTCCATTACCGGAACTCGCCCTGTTTAGGATGAGCTTAATGACGATGTACTAGTAATTAATAATTAGCTCGTTTAACTATTAAATGGGAGCATCCTTCGCTCATTAACTTTCGTCACGCACAAGCATGGTGGTACCCGTGGGAAGATGGCGAAAACTTTGTATTGAATCTTGAAGCCCCACTGCATAAAACATTCACAACAACGAGGTTCACCATCGATGCAAGTGCAATATACCGGTCATAAATCAAGGAAATATACAACGATTACGTAAAGCGGAACTTTGGGGAAGTACCAACCAATCCAAAGAGGTTAAAAAATAATTTTAGTTCACCATTGAAATGTTATTTGAAATACAAAGAAAATATAAGATACTTCGATAATGAAGAAGTTAAGAAAGTAATAGAAATGTTATAATGATTATTTTAAGAATTGTTGTTCTTGTATATAATTCATATATGTTTCATTTTACTTGTTTTCTAAATAGTCTATATGTATATTATTTTGAAATGGAATAATAAAGTCCCTCTGAAGAGGTAAAGAGAAGAAGAAAAAAATCAAGGAAATATATGAAAAGTTTAATAGGTACGTAGTACATAAGAATAATGGGGTGTTGCCGAAACAGCAAATTGATAAGAAATTGACTGAATCTAATACTGAAAATCTGTTATGAAGCTACGATCGGACAGACTTTCTACACTATAGCTCAAGCCTCAAGGCCAGTTTCAATAGCAAGTTGACCGAATAATGTAATGTCCAAAAGGCCTTTATCAACTCATTGTAATGGTTACATATTTGAAAAGGCGACGCACGTGGCTAAAGAAATTGCCTCACGTTCATTTTGCGAAAGTCTTTATGATCATGCTCCGAACTCGGCCTTCTCTTTCAGTGAGAAGGATACGGATCAGTGATCGCAGTCTGGCCTATGATTAGCTAAGGTCACTATCCTTCACGCCTTTATGGTCATCATAATGACCCTTATGATGACTACGGCCATTGTGTAATGTAGGCGACAAACCTGGATGCACCTGCCATCGTTCCATCTGGCCCTATATGATTCGGGATTGTGTATCCATACTTAAAGGTAAAGACCAGTATTGGAAATGCCCCAATTTCAAAAAATGAAATGGAAGCTCTCATTACCAATCATGTGAAAGAATATGTTTTGACTAATAAATGATGATAAAAATTTGCCGGGAAACCGCCAACTAATTCATATATTTGGTAAATTTGTTTCTCTCATGGTCTGTGAGAGATATAGGTTAGTCCCATATACATCTTTCTGTGTATAGTGCTTGTAACTTTACGAAGAATGGGCCAAATTTCTTATCATTTTGATGATTCCAGAACCTTGCAGATGCTAGATGCTAGATGATCAACCTTTTCTGATCGATTCCACAACGTTTCTTTCACAATGCAATCGCATGACCTTAACTGGTCTTTACCTTTAACATCTTTAAAGGCATCGTTTGAAAATGTTAAATCAGAGATGCATGGCCCTACGTATAATCAGTGTCTGTGATATGGTGTGATATTGAAGCCCCAACAAATTGCGCTTCAAAATGATCATAAAGTGCCTCAAAAAAGTAAAAAAATCTTTGAGTGACCGGTTTTACCCTACTCGTTTTCCCACAATAGACTATAGTGTTATGAAAACCGTTTGGAAAACGCAAAAATTGATTTCGATTTCCAATCATGAATATCTTGATAATCTGACAAGCGATCGGCTTGTAAAAGTCACAATGGCTTTGCAATGGCTTTGCAAAATCACCCATTTCCAACTTTCAAGACAGCTTTTTGTCTCTCCAGATCAGTTTAAATCTTTTCTGGATATCCGTAATGGTCTTTACTGAATAGCTTCATGACACTAGGAAAAGTAAAATAACCTTGAAGCATTTATGATAAATACAGCGTCGCACCGAGAGTGTTCTATTGAGGTAATTAATGAATTAGCAAAACATTTCAAAAGCCCTTTTCTAGACAATTAATGTTCATCGATGATTCCTTTACCGATCTTCTGACGGTCACCAGAAACAGACGAAGGACGTCTGGGAAGAGTTAATGTTCTATAGAGGTAGTCAAAGATGGGAAAAGTATTTTAAAAGCCCTTTTCTAGACAATTAATGTCTATCGATGATTCCTTTACCGCTACTCTGACGGTCACCAGAAACAGATAAAGGGCGTCTGGGAACTTTCAAGATAGCTTGTTATCTTTCACGATCGGTTTTAAATATTTCCTGGATATCCGGAATAGTTTCCGAAAGACTTTCCGATATAGAACAAATGAAGAAGGATAGGCTAATAGGAAGGTATTTAACAACCATATCCTGGTTAGACTATTATAACTGTATCACCATAGATGTTTTTACACCTACCCTCATTACGTAATACATGGGCGCCTGTGCATGTGGGCCTTGACTTGAGCCGGTCCACTCATATAGGTAAACTTGCTCGTCATCATGAACGTTCACCTTCGGTCGTTGAACTCCTGATTGAAATTTAATTACGCTTAATGATGTGGAAATGATAGGTGTTTAATTGGTATCAAAATTGTAATGTATGTACATTTTGTGAGGAGGGTAGTTCACCCACGGAGTTGCTGGTATCTCCTTGGTTCACCCCAGCGCAGTAGGGTAACTATTGATCGAGTTAGAAATATAATTCTTGAGTACTTGACATAGGATAGAACATAGGATTAGCTACTTTACTCAATGATTAAAACTGGAATTACATTGCCGAAATTGTAGGTGATCAGTGTTTAATTGATATCAAAATGTTAGCGTATTCTTTATCATAGTGGAATAGAATTAACTACTCTATGATTTCAATTGGCGTCACATTGTTGATCTTTCCCTTTAATAATCAATTAACGTCCATGTGATAGAGCAACAGATATTTTGTTCATGTTTATTTTAGGTTATATGCTGGCATAATTATCATAAACGTTGTATTTCGTTTGATCATTTAGTAATATTGACATGAGTTATGTTCATTTTTCAGTCACGAAAATACTTTTCTTTCAAATGAGTCCATTTGCGAATAAATGACGATATCTTTAGTTAAGTATTTGAATGTTATTAACAAAAACATCGAACCAAATACAAATGATGTGAATGAGCATCGTCATCAACAAAAACAAAACCAACAACAACAACATCAGTCAGGGGACGTTACATTTAGTATTCCCTTTGCATCAAGATAACAGATGGGTATGACAGTGCGAAAAGGAAAACCGTTGTTTTGGCACTGGGAACGTGATATCTTGATGCCGCGCATGCCAGTGACAATCAGTAGCGTAGGATTGGTCCTTAATGGGGGGGGGGGGGGGGGGGATGGATCAATGTGGCACCAGTCTTACTATACGTGGTTAGAATCAGAGTTAACAAGATCACCGATTATGGGGAGGGTGGGGGAGAGGGTCATACAATCCTCTTTCCACGTTCCCTTTCCCCTCTCTTTTTGTTGCATCTCCCCCGCCCCCTTCAACATTCAATGGGAAAGGGGGCACGTAGCACAGCCCCCCCCCCCCCCCATGACAACCCCTTTTAAACTTGACATCGTCATAACATCATAATGCACAACAGGAGGGATAACACATTCCTTCTCACTTCAGGTCTACGGGCCAAATCATTATACCTAATACGTCTCTTTAGGGCTAGAAAGGCGCTTATTCCTATATTTTAACACAGATTTAACGCCCTTTCGGCTCCAAAAAGTTGCATTGTGAGTGACAAGATGAAATATCCATATGGAAAGGAAGAACATGTCTGTCCCGTACCGTTGCCAGGGATCACGCATGTCAGTTTCCCCTATTCTAAATGTCATTGCTTGGGAAATGTCCAAACATTAGCATCAAGCAACATCAACCTTAAAATGACTGCAATTGTTCGGGAAAGCATGAAACCATTTTTGTGAAACATGAATCATCTATAATGACTGTGATAAATACAAAGAAAACAAAATATGACATTGATTATACAAATATTCATCTCCCCTCTCTCTCTCTCTCTCTCTCTCTCTCCCACGCACGCGCACATAATAGTAAGCATTAGTAATTGTCCTATTGTTATATTTATTTTTATCATCATTACTATAATAATGATTATTATTATTAATATCATCATCATCATCTTCATCATCATCATTATCATCATCATCATCCTCATCATCATCATCATCATCATCCTCATCATCATCATCATCATCATAATCTCTTTTTTTTATCAATAATAATATTATCATCAACATCACCATTATTTTGACTATGATGATAACGATGATGATAAACTGTGATTCTATCTCTTACAGATTCGACCAAGTTGTTGTCCTGCCAGCTAGGTCTAAGTGCAGCAGTTTCGGAGGATGAAATACTCATGGGAGCTGTAGGAAACTTCAAAGGAAAAGGTAACATTTAGATCTTTGCTTTATATTAAAGAAGGTGTGTATCACTCTTAAGAACATCTTAAAATATCTTCTTCAAATTGTATTACACGTCAAATACTGCAGGGCTTTGAAAGTTTAGTATTGTGCAGCAACATCATTACGTTTGCCATGTGCCAGCAAGTTTCATTATATGACTTTTTCTATTATCTATAATCATATCGATGCCATTTTTTTTTAAAGGCATGCCTACTTCGGTTTTTTATTGGTTTTATGTCAAATGTGCTAAATAAAAATATATTTTATGAAAACATGACATGATTGACATTCAGACGTGACAGAGAGAGAGAAGAGAGAGAAAGAGAGAGAGGGAGAGAGAGAGAGAGAGAGAGAGAGAGAGAGAGATGTTCAACGGAATGATAACAAGCTCAAAAATAGATAGGCCTATACCGAATTTAAAGTCGAAAAAATGGACGATGTGATAAGGAATTTAGGAACAATATAATCATTGCGAATACGATACTATTGTACAATTATGTAATTAATTTCAAAATTATGGACTTTTTCATGAGATGTACATCTCTGCTATCTTTCTCTTGCAGGTCAAGTCCACGTTGCAGCCCTCTATGAATCACTTGGTACATATTCATCACGAGAGCCTAAGAATCTACAAGAAAGTGATTACAAAGGTATGTTGATTAATAATAATAGAATCGATAATTGAGGAGCGCTAAAAACAATAGGTACGATAGCGCTTAAACATACAAATATTTAAAAAGAGGACAAAATGTACAGTTTCCCAGAGAGTAGAGTAGATCACAAAGGGAAAAAGATAAGTTTCCAGGGATCTTTTGATGGTGGCAAGACAGGTAATTTCCCTGAACATTGTGTGAAAGTCCAGAGGGAAATCACATCTGAGAAAAATCAAATATTTAGTGTATACCGAAAACATACATAATATCTTTCGTTTATGTTGGTGATGTGTTGCTGCGTGCAAAATACAAATGAATCTATACCCCAACCCTATCAAGTAAATCCGTATCACCATATATTACATAATTATTTTGTATGATAAAGTAAATAAAACCCTCTCCCCATGTGTGTCTTCCTCCATTATCTCTTAAGTTTTATTATCTTTTATATTTTTTATTAATGAAATGCTGTTCAGTGATTGGTCAACATAACATCATGTGATCAAACATAACATTGCTATGATGTTACCGATATGAAAAGTGTGCTATACCGTGACATCATCCATGGAATAGTGCACTATACCATGGATAACGTCATATATATGCGATCGATAATGGATTCCTCGGTGACAGAAATTATTATTATTATTTTTGTTATGAACGTTGGTTTGAAAAATATAAAACAAATACATCATGCACTACTTCAAGCCACTAGTGAAATGATGGATTCCTCGGCTATAAAAATATTTAATTCCAGCAACCTCATTCCATAATTTCAACTGGAGCCTCTCAGTGCATGGTATATTTGTTTAATGTCTATTTATCCATGCCGAAAACGTATTTCTATATTTCTATGTCATCAATGTGACAGTCATCTATTCTTGCTCTCGCCTCCTACAGGTTATTCAGTGTCATTCGGTGATTTTGATGGGGATACCCTAAACGAGTACATAGTCGGGGCGCCCCGCGCAGCCCTCAATAGAGGCATGGTGAGTCAATAATTTGTCTGGAGATATTATCATCGAAAGCGAATATGATTCGATGGGCTATACTCATATAATTATCCCGCCCCCCCCCCCCCCCACTCAGTGTTATTTAGGGTACGCATATGCTTGTTCCCTCTTTTTTAAAGCACCCCATATCTGAGGACTGCCAACATTTCCGAACCCCCCTTTCGCGGGCTTTTTGCGGGCTTTTCCTGCCTTGGAGACCCCCCTCAATCATGAAAAATGCTCAATGTTCCCCCTAAATTCGGAATAATTTCTCAGGAGGCAAAAGAGATGAGAGAAAAAACACCACCTTTTTCAAGAAATCTCCGGGTGAAAAGTTAATACACCCCTTTTTTTTTTTACGATTCTCGGGCCGGACTTTGTCGCACGAAAAAGTACCTCTTTACCGGACATTTTGGTAACACGCATGGGGTCCGTCCGTTCTAGGAGTGGGGGGGGGGCGGGATAATTATACTTGAACAGAGCAATGCTGAGTCAATGCCTCCCCATTGTTTGCATAGGGCTATAGTCACGAAGGGGTTTAGTTAGTCAGTTGTCTCTTTAATAGGGGTGTTCACTCACTACACTCTTGATTAAAAGTATAGAGGTTAAAGGTATAAGGTAAAGGTATAGGCCAGTTTTGGAAACGCCCCCCTCTCAAAAAATGAAATGGAAGCTCTTATTCATGTGAAAGAATGTGTTTTGACTAATACGTGATGAAACGGCCTACTAATTAATATATTTGGTAAATTATCATATTGATCCGGCCTGGATAGATATCGCGAATACTTCATCATTGAACATTTGGGCATTTAATTCTGCTTTTTTGCAAATTTAGGTATTGCCACCTAAACCTCTGACGGCAATATTTAAACAATGTCGAATGGATATTTTGCACCCAAAACCATTGAACCGCAATTTTACCACTACTTGTCTACATATTTAATGTTTAAAATCGGTCCATCGTGAAGCCAATGAGTCCGACCAACATTGGGAAACTTGATGTCCAACTTAGGTATAATACCCAATGATGATCACACTTTACTAGTGCTTGAGCAAAATTTATCCATATTGGTAAATACTAAGTCCCTTTTTTCAAAATTGGCGAAATACAGAGGATACTCTAAATAAAAGCGATGTGAATAGCAAAGAAAAGTGAAATGGCGTGAAGGAAAGGAAGAGAAGAGAAAACGAAAGGGACACCTCCCGCACCCCTTCTATAATCGGTTGCCTTGTTACTTTGCATTTCACTGACCAGTGCCCCCCCCCCCCACCATCTCATCGGCTGGGCGTACACTACTTCATTGAATACCCTCTCCCCTGACAGTTATTTTGTCTAACGGTAACAGAATATTCGAAGAGACATATTATTAACAATTTGAGCAAATTCAAGTTATTTTACAATTATTATTTACTGACGAAAATCCATCATAGAAATATATTTATATTATGTAATTTATGATATGAAATCTAAACAAAATTAAATACTAAATTAATGAATCTGAATTTGAACATTGATCTGAAATGGATTTGTGATTATAAAGAAGTTTACGAGTTTAGGATAATATAGGCGATTGGGTATTACCAATCATCTTGATATTAGGGATCAGGTACGCTAAGGTCACTGACACTAAAACAGGTGCATGGGGCAACACATAATCTATATTTGCTAATCCATATTTGCTGCCAAAATAACTTTCTTCTATTTCAGTTCACCAAAGGTTGCCACGGGGCTTCTGGTGTCTCTATTACATAATGCATAATTCAAAAGTTTGTATTTCCATAGTTGATTGCGTCAGTTTCATACGTTTTTTAGCCAGTACGGTTAATAGTGAACCTGGGGAGTGTTGCACAAAGACTAAGATCAACTTTATGTTAGACTTTACTATGGCAGGCCGTGCATGCCGCTAGTTCCTCAACCATTCATGGCATCGGTTTCTCAAGGGACGTAGGCCTACAAATCATGGCCACAAATCTAAAGAATTTACATTTTTTGATAGTTCATTATTGAAGGAAAAAAACAATACCTAAAGATCATAATTGTGAGACCAATCGAGAGAGCAACCAGAGGCATGAATGGCCTGCCATAGTTAAGTCCAACTTAAAGTCGATCTTAAAGTCGATCTTAGTCTTTGTGAAATACTCCTCTGGTACATCCAACAGGCAACTCTTACCATCTATCATATTTTATGGTTCATGATGAATTCCAGCAGAATAAATATGCTGTCTAATATCACAAAATAAAACTGTTGTAGTCATAGTTCACCAACACACTCAGAAATACTGCCTGGTTAATATGAGCCGTATTAAAAGAAACCAGTATTCTCTTTTCTCGCTAAACCATTGGTAATAAGTAATGATTATTTCCCACTCAGTGAAAAGTAAATTATTTGTTATGTTCTTTATAGTTACATATGTTTTATGGTAACCCCTCAAGTCTTTGAATCTTCGAGATATAATTAGTTTTTAGTATTGGCCATGCGCCAAATGATTAAGGAATGACTTATTATGTATAAATTAGACTAATTATGATGTATTTCGAAGTTTTCACATCTTCAAATTGACTCAAGTGTTCTTGGCAATTACAAACAATGAAATGCACTACATACGGTCATGAATATCGTTGGACTACACACACATGTGGTATTGCTTTTGGTCCAACGTTTTAAATACCTACTATTTTGGTCGCATCTTGAATATAAGGGTTTTGATGCATTTGTTGTTGTTGTCACATTGCTGATATGATATTCGTTCACATAAAAATAAAAAGAACGCGCAAATTTTATCTTGTTTACGTTTTCCAGAACCAGTTTTTCTCTGTTTAACAATGAAACCAATTTAATACTTAATGCTCTTGTTCTTGTCATACAGGTTTCCATTTTAGATGTTTCGTTGTCAGAGATAATCGTGATGCAAGGATCACAGATGGGAGAGTATTTTGGCCACTCGGCGACGGGATCAGACCTTACCGGCGATGGGTAAAGTTTTTTTGTTTAGTTATTATTGTTGTTATGGTTAGTGTGTCTGGGTTTGTTTCTTTTTTGTTTTGATGTTTATTTCACTTAGCCTCTATGAAAGCAAGTACCTCCTTGTACAGGTTTGTAAGTTGAGATTGATACTGTGCCCCGGCGACATCTTCCATGATGTATTGCTAATTGTGTCCGTCCTTTAATTTGTATAATTTTAATTTACTAAATCCATAATTTTTTTTAAATTATTTTATATGTATATACATCTGAATATAATTAGTTATCACCCTTTAGTTTCATTGGCTGCACGTGTGGGGCCTGGTGACCTTATTAGAGGCTCTCAGTTTCATGGGCCTTCGGAATCGTGGACCTCTTGTACCTTTATTTATCTTTATATTTGTGTATGTATCTTTATGTTTTGTCTGTCTTTTTGGATGTTGGGTTAGCGGGCCTGGTTTAGTAAACCTTTGTCACTGCCAGTCTACTTGGATGTCCCCACTGCCCCCCCCACCCCCTCCCCGAGAAGTTTGAAAATATGTAAAATGTGTAGTTTTGATACCTTTCCTTGATTACAAAATACAATTTACCATAATAAAGCACCATGAACTAGAATTCGTGCTCACCGGCATTATTTCATGTTCATTTCTTTTGTCCGTCACCTTATCAATCATTAAAATCTGTATAAGGAATTAATTTTAATATTTTTCTTCTCCATAGCTTTGATGAGTTGATCGTCACAGCACCTATGTATAGTAACGTGGACGACAAACGACACGACGTTGGCCGGGTTTACATCTACCAAAATAACGGCGATGTGAGTAGCAACATTTTTTTCATACTCATAAATCTTGGAGTAAGTCTACCTTTTTTCGGAGTAACCCATACTTACCGATAGACTATAGTATGCATCATAACATTATTAAACTCATAAATTTTGTGAATTAATTCGTTGCAAAATTAATCATTAAGGTACATGTTTGTCCCTCTAGTAGGAGATTTCTTTGTTTAACTCTAGAGAAATTAAACAGTCATTTACCCCCCAAAAAATCAACCACATAAACTTGGAGTCTGTCTTGAATAATGATAGACCATACTGACGTTATTTATAATCTGTAGTTTTTAATACAATGAGAAAGTGACCCTACTGAGGTCTTCCATTCTTAGATGAAAGTATATTAAGAAAATTAACAATAAAGTGTAAAATGATTGTTAAAGAAATAATGGAACAAATCGTGATTTTGTGCATCATGCAGGGTACCTTCGAAGCACCTCAGATTCTGACAGGTCGACAAGCTGGAGGCAGATTCGGCTTTTCTATAGCTCCACTAGGAGACGTCAACCAAGACGGATTCAAAGGTACGTCTGGTTTATAAAACACCTATTATCTAAAAGTACACATCCCTTTTGTCAGTATATCAATCTACATTTGCCACTCTCCACCCAGGTGGAGTAGTTGAGTACCCGCTATACGTATGGTAGGTCTGCCGATGTAAATATTAAGATTGCAAAACCCTCAGAGAGAAAAGTATTGATAGTGATGAGGCAGGCCTGGGTTTAAAAAAAACATACTATTACATCATCAAACAGCAGCAAATATTGGAAGAAAAAATCTTTTTAAGAGAAAAGGAATTTCAAACTGTAAATTCCACCTCAATTGAGCCCTAATATACACAAGTTGCAACTCAATACAACTCAAAAGAGAGGTAGAGTTGACAGAAGGCACGAAATAAAAAGATGTCCGACTTTTTCCCAAATCATCCTCTCTTGTATGATCTCTACCTCGTTGTCTATATTGACTAATACTGTGACAACCTGAGTGTTAAGGTTACAAGAAGTTTTGTTGGTTTTTTAAAACAATATTTTAGACAAATTGAGACACGGAGTCTCTCAATGGCTTTAAAACATCATGATGAGTATCATTTCATAATTTTGAACTAACTTTGTCAACTATGTTTTTTTGTATTGTGCAAACAATTGATATATGAAATGGAATAAAATCAATCAATCAATCAATCATGTTTTGACGTCTCTTTGCAGATTTAGCCATAGGAGCTCCTCACGATGGTGAGACGGGTCTTGGACGGGTGTATATCTTTCACAGCTCCGGAAGACAGGGGCTCTACCAGTCAGCAACACAGGTAACCACCATTTATTGGCGTAGATACAGGGGCACGAAGGATCCCCCCTCCCCTCCACCCGCCTGTCGAATGATGAATAAAAGAAGGAAATATGGGAACATTACAAAAGGGGATAAACGGAAAGGAGAGGAGGGGACGGGATTGAAAAGAAGGTCTGACCTCTCCTGCACCGTACTACCCAAATTCGAGTCTTGTTAACGCTTATTTTATTCACCGAGTAACGCAAAATTGACACCCCACCCTCCCACCCCTCCCCCATCCTTAGATTATACCACTGTCTCTACAGTATTCAGACCTCATGTTGCCAACGTCTGTAGGCGCAAAGGAAATCATTCTGCAAAATGGAAACTCCGAGACATTTCACAAGTGGTTGAGTTGAGTTGAGTTGAGTTTAGTTTATTGGTTTCACATTTCACTTGCATATATGATATAATACAGATAACAAAATATACATAAAAGACATATTGTTTCATAATTTTTTTTTAAATGATTATAGTAATTGACAAGGTAATCAGACTTCAAAGTTATATGTCATCACATTTGTTTGACAACTAATATCATTTAAAGGAAACCCAGACAAACGTACAAACTGTGAAATGTGCAGGAACCTATAGAAAAGCAGAGCTTGTAAAAATTAAGTTCCTGGGAGACTTGAAAAAATGACAGGGACAGAAAATGTTTACTGTAGAGAGAAGTACACAATTAAAATTAAGACGGCAGTAATTTGACAAATAATTGAAGCCGACATCCATCTTATGATTTCATGTCTTCTTTCAAGTTTTAAATTTCGATTTCAAACTTGAACATATATTTAACAAGAATATCTTATTCGTTGTCTGTTGCAGGTACTTGACCCTTTGACCTTGGGGTTGACCCTCCCGACCTTTGGCTTCTCCCTCTCGTCTGGAATGGACATGGATAATAATCAGTATCCGGGTACGTTTTCAAGTTTTCAATTTCTCCGATTTAATCATTCCTACTTTTAGCAAACACAGTTATAACAACTAAGTTAATCAATACCCTTGCCAATTTTTGTAATATTACAGTTAATAACTAATTTATTCGTACCCCTTGTAAATTTGATATTTTAGGTGATTTCGTAACCAAAACATGAAAGGTGGAATGGTTGAACTATAGGGCGTTTGTTGAATACTTTTAGTATGTCACATTCTCAAGAAACATAGATCAGGACGATCAATCTTTCATATACTTACAAAATTACAAAAATTTGCAAGGGTATTGATTAACTTTAATAATTGTTGACTGTGTTTGCTAAAATTAGGAATGATAAAATTTAAGAACTTGAAACTTCCAACACTGACAAGTCGAATTGCGAATATGCGGCCAATATTTTCAATAGTGATATTGCTTTTATAATATTTTTCCATTGCATCTAAGGAACGAGACAGGTCACGAATTGTTCACTTTTAACTGAACTCATCTTTTAAAATAACTCATATTTCTGTTTAACTCACTTTTTCTCTCCTCCTTCCCCTATATTCCCTGTCTTTTTGTTCCATTTTACTATAATACAGATTTAGTGGTAGGGATGTACAAGGCGTCAACGGTAGCTTTGTTTAGGTATGTATCGCATTCTTCTTCTTTTGTTCTCTTTTTTTTTCGTTGTTTGTTTTTGTTGTTGGTGGTGGTATTTCTCACACATCCAGTTCGATAAACCTCTTGCAAATGATACTTCTACTGCCAGCACAATAGTCTGTGTACGGATAAATTTCAGACACAATGAAACAAAAAACACTTAACATGCAAAGTATAGGTATACAATCTGAGTACCACCAGCATTTAAAACAAATGTTGTTTACATGAAGTCTGGCATTAATTACCAGCAGTTAAGCATATCCTGATTTCAGATTTACATTGGATTTGGAGATAATTCCATACACACGCACTACTGTGCATTGAGCTCTTTTCATGTACCGTTCGAAACGATAAACGGAGGAAACAATCGTTTTAATTGTCGTTTTCATGGTTAAGTTGGGAAGATAATCTTCTCGTGTATCTATACCTTCTGAAACCTTTTATCAAATACATTCACTAATCTTAAACCCATAACACCTTATCATTGGCATGATTAGGCCATGATTGTCTTTTTACTTTGTATTCAGGTTATCTTCTTGTTTCAATGAAAACATTTTAAGGTCATGATAAGTAGATGTTTGTTGCCAATGTCATCGGTGTCATTAGGGACTTTTAGATTCGCACGAAGACAATGGGGATTGCTACGATCGACGTCCTCTTAATGCACTGCCTTGAATGGACGTCACACGTATCAGTCCACGCAAATCCAAAAGTCCCTATTTACGACCATTTCCGAAGCTACTCACTGAAGATTATAGTGTTATTGCAACATTTACCGTAGATGGCGTAGGAATACTCACAAGCTTTCAACGATTTGATTTTTAAATAATCCCGCTATTATAAGGACATAATTTATATTCACAATAAATCCATGATAAATAGATAAAAGGAAAGTTGTGGAAATCGTTGCCTAAGGGATATGTCACTGGTGGCATGAATTGAACGCTGTGCACTTATTACCGGAGAAGTATGAGAAGTATTCTTCATATTGATCCCAAAGAGAAATATGAAACTATTGAAAGCATTCTAACTTTCCTAGATATTAAGGTTAAGTGTACGAGTCTCTGTTAATCTCTTGCAATCTTCACTTTGCCGTTTTGATTGGAAATTTGTAAGAATGCACTATTTCATTTTTTTCATTCTGTACAATTACCAGGTCGAGACCTGTTGTGGATGTATCCGCCCATGTCAGCGTTGATCTGAAGGGAATTCGACTCAAGGAACGCAATTACCGGCTTCCTAGCGGTGCCTTGGTACTCGGGTGAGTCCTCCTTAAAGCCCCACTGTATTACTGATAGCTTTTTGCGCCCTCTATATAGCAAACAATGCCTAATCGGTGGCCGTTGGTTCCCCATGATTCCCTTTTTCTTATGTTAATTGAGAGCTGATTTGATGAGATAACCACATGTCAGTGACCAGCAGGGTGGTCTAATCCCCCTGGCCAAACTAGTGCAGACGGGCTTTAACATATCGACAGTGGCGTAGCTCTACGGGTACTAGGGCAATTGCCCCCGCCCTTGTTATTGCGAATAAATAAAGACACAGAAAAAGCACGACCACCAAGACTTTCGAAAAACTAACCTAATGGTATCTCAATCGCCTTCTCCATCACCGTAATAATTTAATGTCTGACCTAGATGATTACGTAATTACGTAATTCCAAATATGATTTCTACGGGATATACAAGAATGTTCTGAAACTGGCATTGAGTTATTTTTTTTTAAAATCTTTTGTTAATCTTTCCGACCGTTTACGCAGATTCAAAAAATAGGAGGACAATGTCAAACTAAGATAATACTACTCCTTCCAACCCCAAACTCGATTGCCTAGCTATATCGCATTTCATAGACATTCCCTTGTCACTTCTGGGACCCGTTTCACTAAGCCTTTTTTCAATGACAAATGACAATAATCGGTGACAAATCTGCTGATAACCAATCAGAAGCAAGGATTTCACTAGTCACTGATGACAAGTTTTGTGAAACGGGGCCCTGGTGTCTCCTTTAAAACCAGTGAACCCTCAATGTTTGTATACCACGCCATGCCACTGCTTATTGCTAATTATTCAAAGAAAAGGAGGTGACTTCTACTTCTTTAAAGGTAGGCGTTACTACTGCAGCTAGAAGGGATTAGACCACACAGCGAGCCATCGAGATCACTGTGACAGGTGGCTATCTCATTAACTCAGCTCTCATTTAACATAAGAAAAAGAGGATCATGGGGGACCAACAGGCACCGATTTGGGAAGTTTTCTATATAGAGGGAGCAAGTAGCTACAAGTAGGACAGTGTGCCTTTAAAGACAGAGCCAGACCTCAAGTTTAAAAATTTATCAAAATTACTGATTATGCTTCTTTGATTTGTTATGTCTGTGGCTTATTAAAACTAGTATTTTTTGCTGAGAAGGTGACTTCTACAAATTACATTCCTATGTACTTCATTTGCAAGTGCAATTTTTAGTTATATTCTTGTGATATGTAGGGATGTAGAGAAGAAAGAAGTTCTCATACCAATATTCTTTTTATGAATAATTAAAGGACCTATCGTCAGTAGGAAATGCAATAAGTTGATATATTGTAATAAAGCTAGCTCTATAAATTTCTAAACGTTTGTGTTACAAGGATTTTAATATTCTTCTTTTAAATGTTTCATTGGTCATTTCCCTTTTTATGTTTCTCATGGAATAGATTCAATGTGACGCTCTGTTTATCGTTCGATGGGATTAATATACCACAGGAAATTTGTAAGTACCCATCTAAGGTTTTTAGAACTTAAAATATCTTTCCCTTTCATTTGCAATCTCTGCCATTCTAGTATATTCTCTCTCATTATCTCTCTCTCTCTCTCTCTCTCACTCACTCTCCTTCTCTCTCTCTCCATCTTTCTATATTTTGTCTCTTCCCTTATCCGTATCTTCCACTCTCTTTCTTCCTTCCCTCTCTCCATTTCTATGATATTAATCTGTCTTTGCGATTTAGAAGATCCGCTCATTCGTAGTGCCTACTTTTTTCGCACAACTCACAAACTACAACGTGTAATATCATTTTCCAATACCCTTCTTAGTTCTCGTATAAATGCAAAGTTTCTAAAGTTATCTATACAAGGGAATCTATAATTTACAAGCTTAGCTTTTTACTTATTTTCCCCCATATTTCATTTCAATATATTTGTCTAATTTTAGTTTAAATACCATGCTATTGTACTTATATGTCCGTATGTTTTTTTTTTTAACTGTACTGTTACTTCCATGGACTGATACAATGATATATATGTTTACACCTATTGAAAGAACAATTGTTTTCATTGTTATGGGTTTTATTGCTTATGATTTAAGTAATAAATGTGAATGTGAAATATACTCAAACGAAAAAACTTAAACGGAAATTTATTTATAACTATCATGCAATCTGGTGAAAACCAAGAGGCTGATCAAGAAACGAATCGCGTTTAAACACATTTCAGACAGGGGCGGTTTGGCAACAGGGCTTTGTTTGAGGATCTGTCCTCGCGAGGGATATTTTGACTTAAGGTACGGTCCGTTTGTCTATCCTAGGGGCAGTTGTTTGGGGGTAGTTTTCCGGGGGTAGTTGTCTGGGGGTAGTTGTCCGGGGTTAAATGTCCGGGGGGGCAGTTGTCCGGGGGTAGTCGTCATAGGGGTGTAAATCATGTATTCATCATCACTTTCGTATATTTTTGTCACCTTTGTAGTTCTGGATTATGACTTGATTGCCGATGCTAAGCTTCCCGTCAGTCAGCGCTGTTACTTTGAACTGCTTGACCAACCCGACTCTGCCGGGATCCGAGATCGCGTCAATATTTCGACTGGGTCTGAAATATGTCTCTCTCATGTTGCATACATCCCGGTGAGCATCCGTAGATCCCAGTTGCGTAGCCTAGGCAGCATCATTTCTAAAGAGCGATTTGGGGGCTCAACCCTCTCTCCCTTCCCCACTCAGAAAAACAAACAATTCAGCCCCTCAAAACAAATTTAAAAAGAATTGTGAGGCATGTGTAGAAAATTCAAGCGCCCCCAGACCAACCCCCCCCCCCCCCGAAAAAAAAGCCCCGCCAAAATTATTTGTATTTGACTGCTCCTGAGCCCAGATCATAATTATAGAGGGCACTTGTATCATGATGTGAGTGGCAATGGTCATTGTTTTATTTATAGAACTGAATTATATATTGCATTAGTTTGATTTTAATCTGCCAAGTCTTATTCTTCATCGTTATCAGAACTAAAGATGCATTGTTTATTGCAAATTACCTTATTTTCACTTGTAATAAGATTTCCATTTTTACTTCGTCTCCCAAAAGAATTCAATTCAAGACAAGCTCACGCCTATCACCATGAGAGCCGATTATAGCCTCGTCATTGCAGACCAGGTCAACAGTACACTGTTCAGACCAGCTGATATACAACCTATCCTCAACAAGAACATTCCCGCCTCAACATCACTAACGGTAAAACCTTCTGGCATTGACGCCGATAGTAGAATCTCTTGAGAGCCAGAAGAGCTTTAACTTTCTGTTAAGATGTATAGAGTTACTGTCTTTCTTTCTTTAAGTCGAGATATTTGTTTTCATTATTGAGCTTTATCTTTCATCCCATTTTTAGTAAATGAGCGCTTTTAATTTGCATATATATTTTGTTAATTTAATTGTCTGTTATAGAGAATGTGTTTTTCCATATCTAGCAAGAAGAGAGAGAAGTTGATGACTTAGAACAAGTTTGCTTTGAGACAGATCAGTATGAATATTTAGTAAACTTTCGCTTGTTTTAGGGCTCCATGGTTCTCGACACACGTTTTCACTGAAACACCAATATCACACGTTGGCTTCTCATCGTTGCTGGCGCTATTTCTGTCAACAGTCTAGATGACATAATGATTGTACGTTTAAATGTTTACTGTAAATCTTTGTAATGTCATATTCTTCTTGTAGATAATATAGTTACTTTGAAATGTTCAATATAAGAAACAGAGTGAACTAAACTGAATTGAACGGAAAGTCCTTTGTGCCAAATCATCGTTACCAATCAGATAAATCTCTCTCTCCGTAAATTTCGATATTCTGGAAGCTTTATTTATTCTTGTGATTCTCTTTATCTTAGGTTCCTATCCTGAGAAATTGCCAAAATCTTACATGTGTTCCAGATCTGAGACTTGCTGTCACAAAGTAAGTTAAATGTTGTCTTTTTCCGTAAAAAAATATGAAATATACAATTGCGAGTAGATTTCAAAAACCTAAGGATAGCGATTTACTTACTGCTTTGAAAATGAAATTAGGTATAAAGTAGTTTTTAAAAAAAGAATTTTGAACATAGGCTGGGGTGGAAATAAACATTTCTATCTTCCATTATAATATTTCACAGCTTTATGTTAAGGTTTGACGTAAAAAGCATAGCTGAAGAATCATGATAGATAACGAAATGAGACATCGAATTGCATTGCTCACTGGGGGTTTGGAGAAAGGAGATGAAACGAAAAAGAGTTAAAATCGAGAAATAATAGCAAAGGGAATGCAGTCCTACTAGTCATTATCGACTTGCTATTTCGCTATTTCTAGGAATGTGGAAAAGTTGTTCGTCGGAGACAGGAAGAACATCATCATGATTATCACCATCACAAACCAAGGGGAGGATGCCTACCAATCAAGACTCAAGATTCATACCCCTCCGGAGCTCCTCTTTAAAAAGGCAGAACAACTGCGATTGGTGAGTATAATACCACATTCCCGGGGTATTATTTTGTGATTAGAAGGTCTGAGCCCCGTCTTACAAATTTTTACGATTGATCCAAGTCAATCGCAAGTTCTTTTATCAATCGCAAGTTTGCAGTCTCCTTTCTCGTATGTACATAGTTGCGATCGTAAGTAAGTTGCGATTGATATCAACTGTTTGTAAGACGAGCCCTGGTGTTCAAACATTATATCTGGGCCCCGTCTAAAGGGTTGCGATTGATCTGAATCAAGTCCTCCGACCAATCTCAAGTTTGCAGTCTCCCAGGCTTTAAGTCAACTACCTGCTAGCGAAGGTGTGTGTGAATTCCCAACAACTCCGATTGCTGAGTAAGATCCCTCTACGCCTAGAGTTTGGTCCGTTTCAGAGAGGAAAGTGGTGACTGTAACAATGTTACGCAGGGCATCCAGCCAGCGTTTAAATGTTATTGATGTATAATTTATCATTAACTATCTTACAGTCAATGGCGATTGTTACAGAATATGATAGCAGGTGTAGCAATACAGTGTGAGAAACAAAATGGATATTCATTCAAAGCAGGGAAGGGGGAAAAAAAATATTTCATTGGGTCGGTCATGAACACGAACTCTCTCTCTCTCTCTCTCTCTCTCTCTAGGAAACTTCCAATTTCATTGGGGATATCTCAATCTCATCCATAACAGATATTTTTCATTGATTGTCTCGTTTGTAATTGGTGCGATTACAAAAAAAAAACATTTTAAAGTTTATCTTTTCCGAACTCAGATTCACGATTTCATCGCTTCGTGCTCCAATGACGTACAGCTTTCCCTGGTCACGTGCACTGTGGGGAATCCCCTACCAGCAGGTGCAGAGGTAGGTTTGATTAGATTTGATTTGATTTGATTTATTGGTTTCTGCATCTTTTTTCTTTTTTTCATCATACATTTTCATGAACATAATATGGCTTGATACAATATTCCAAGTGTATATAATTTTATACAGATAATACACGATATTAAACAAATATATTGAATTTAAACAAATACATTGAATGCATAATTAACATATATGTTCATGGAACACTTAAAAAGGAAGGTTTGGGGTTCTTTTTCAATTTTGCATTTAAAATATGGAAAAAATTGATATTTGCGACTTGCGTCTCACGACATCGGTTCCGCTCTACTTGTGTTTTTCATTTCAAATTTCCTCTTTTGTTTACAGTTTTTACAGAGGCAATTAGATAAGAAATCTAGATCATGATAATACAAATTACTCTGTGCGTTTGTACTTCTATGTCTTTCGCTTTCAACAAAACATTTCTACAATATTTTTGTTGCAGCTAAAACTTCGTGTTGAATTCGAGAACGTGAACCTCTCGGGACAAGTTGACCTCTTGACCTTTTCGATGCAAGTTCAAAGGTAATCTATTAAGTATTAATTAGCATTATCCTCATTAAGAGCCGAGTTTCTTCATTTACAGATACACAGTCACCCAAGGGTTGCTTCTATTCTGCATTTAATACGTGTAAATCTATTGAGCAGCAAAAGCAAAGTCACGTCCTTATAGGATCGGAGAGGGTTGTTACCATTTTTTTTAATTTTTTTTTTTTGGGGGGGGGTTCTTGAAAGTTGATTGATTGTGTTGGGTATTCATCATCTGCATTGCATGGCATTTTATTTATTGCACTCTTGAAAATGTGGATTTGCCCCATAGAAAAATCACATCCAATATGACTTTGAAACTATTTCTATAGCCATATATTATAGAAGTTAATTTCTTCGTTGTTTTCTGCTCTATATGCGTCACCAATGTCCTTTGGCAGGACATTGATCTACATTTGCCACACTTAACCCAGGTGATGTAAATGGGTACCAGTCCTGGCAGGAATTAATTCCTTGAAATGCTAGAGAGCCTTGCTAGAACCAGGGTATTAATCGGGCAGCGCCAGGAGCGTCACAATGTGACGGACTTGTGCGCTTTATAAGAAGCAATTATTATTATTACTTTTATTATTATTATTATTATTATTATTATTATTATTATTATTATTATTATTATTATTATTATTATTATTATTATTATTATTATTATTATTATTATTATTATTATTATTATTATTATTATTATTATTATTATTATTATTATTATTATTATTATTATTATTATTATTATTATTATTATTATTATTATTATTATTATTATTATTATTATTATTATTATTATTATTATTATTATTATTATTATTATTATATAGTGTTGAAGCAGAACGGGAGAGTACCCGACGGGACAACCTCATGGATGTCCTCATACCAGTCGAGATTGTCGCCTCTATGGAGCTCATAGGGTAAGAATACTCACTTTAAATCGCTTCAGTACAACCGGCTATCTATACCCGCAAAACACCTACCCTTGCCCCCCGATCCGCCCCCCCCCCCCCCGGACTGACAACCTTTTCGTCAGTGACTTATATGGTCTTCGTGACTTTAAGAGGTCAAATAAATTAATGTTAAAAAAAAAAACTTTCTTATTTTATTTTATTTTATTTTTTCCAAGGAGGGGGGGGGGGGGTAAACATGTTTAATTTACGTTACCATCTTATTCTTTTTACCGGTGTTGTTTTGCTAGGGGGGTCGGGCCCGCCGCCTGATAATATGAGTATTAAAGTAGGAGAAGGCCATGTTGGAGAAGGTGAAGAAGGGAAGGAAGAAAAAGAAGAGGAAGCGAATTGATGAAATCAGTGGCATTGCAGAATATCAAAAACGTGAGCTCATGCGTAGGCTCTTTTTACCTGAACGACGAGCGATTATGACTTTGGCACTTCGGTTCTCTATATGGGAAGGAACTGAACTTTGGCAACAGAAAAGCATCCTATTGGCATACCATGAATAAATATGAATGTTTTATTTTCTCTCCTTGTCTTTCCCAGGGTATCCAGTCCTCAAGAGGTCGTCTTTCGTCCCGAACATTATCCTCTTGATCGTACGATCAACTCTTACGACGATGTCGGACCAGAAATCAGTCATTATTTCTCGGTAACCATTGAGCTGTATACAAACAACACTCATCGCGCTGATTTGTATTACTGTCATAAAGACAGAATGAAGATATTCCATTTTTAAAAAAAACTTCTCAAATTACTGCAACTATTTTTTAATTATAGAAGATCACATCCAACCTTGTCCTATAACGATTGCAGATTATTCGGGCCAGTAGATTACGTTTAACATAATGCTGTTCGATTAAGATTTTCCATATCAAATTATCATAATTGGTGAGTTGTGTCACGATGGTGCATTATCTTTCAAAAGCTTTCACGAAACTGTTTACATGTACCTACAGAACATCTGTTTCCTGGGGCGGGTTGGCTAAATTCAAACAGTTATTAAAACAAGATTAACAATGATAGATGGACTTTCAGAGGGATTGTAAATGTTTAGAGAGCAATCATTGATTCAAGTCAATGATGATTTGCTATATATGATGAATACGAAATCGTATGTAATTTGATCATAGTAACTGTTCACGCGTTTGATGATCAATTTCTAAAGTAAAATCAGGGACTTAATTGTTATTGAAGCCTTTTTCTTCGGTTCTGAACTGCTTTTTTTTCTTGACACTTTCCCACTCAGCTCATCAATAAAGGACCATCCCACATTGGTCCCACCATCGTCCATATTGAATGGCCTCTTTTCACAAACAATGGCACCCTTTTGCTGCTCCTCACCAGGGCGTCCATGAACAACGGCCAAATGTGCACTGTCAATGCATACGTGAACCCAGCGAAATTACCGGTAAGAGGGAAATTTGATTGGAGGAGCGCGGGTCCCATGACTAGGAATTGTTTGGTCAAACAAAGGAGTTTGCAGTGAAAATAATCTATCTGCTATGTTATTTTTCTGGTTTTACTAAAATACTACATACCAGAGCACAATTATTATTCAATTAATATTTCCCGTTTATATAGCACTCGTTGGATAGGTCCAAAGCGGTTTGGCGCCTATTTTGTCCTCCATATTTGATCCCAAATTGGCGCAAAATAAGGGACATACACTCGGTATAATGATTGTACGAGTATATTACAGACCTGTGACTTTGCACACACTGTGTGACTTTTGTTGGCAACATATAAACTTCAAATATCAATAATTTCAATTCCAAATCCAGGAATATTTTAAGGAGGCACAGAACGGAAAATACCGAAAAGCAGGCTTTTTCGGATTTTTCCTGTGCTTTTTCTTACTAAAAATCCACATGCTTTTCTCTGATCCTCCACTTATTTTTAAATCATTGCATGTTTTTTTCATGTATTAGCAAATATTGTCCTGCCTTTTGGGAAAACACAATTTTGCCATGCTTTAAAAAATGTGCTTATGTCGATTATAAGCGTTATAGTTTGAATTATGTTGTTTGTTTTGTTGTTATTTGTGTAGTTGGAGTCGGGTGTAGTGTACGAGGATACAGGAACTCGCCCTGATCGATCATATTGCAAGGATACTAACACAGCTATGACGTCACACCACATGCAATGCTGCTCCCTGGGCAATTGCGCAACCATTACGTGCAGACTGGACAGCCTTCTAGCGACGAGCACAGCGAAAGGAGAAGTCGTTATAAATATCAAGTCAAGAATCTGGATAAATACTTTACTTGAGGTAAATACAATGCTACTTGATCATATCTACTCAACTTTAAAGAAATATTGACATAATAACCTCAAAGTTATAATCACTCTCGTAATTGTTTATTTTGCCTGAGACATTACCCTTAATCCAAGAGTTAACCGCATTGTAGTACTCTAATTGATGTGTGTGTATTAACTATGAATATGACTGACAAAGAAAGCGGACAAAATATACAGTTCCTTAGGTAGACAAAGGAACATCCCTTCACTGCTATTATGTAAAAATGTGCAGAACAGGTGTCACATGCATATTCACCTTTTACATAATAGCAGTGAAGGGATGTTCCTTTGTCTACCTGAGGAACTGTATATTTTGTCCGCTTTCTTTGTCCGTCATGTTCATAGTAATTGCTGCTCTTGTTTAAGTGTATTGTTATTGCTGTTCCTGCAGTTCTTGTAACTGCTACTGTTGTTGTTGTTGTTTTTGTCATTTGTTATCAATTCTATATCCCTGGTGTATTGATATTAATTCTCCCACAAATTTTATTTTCCGCGATCTCTTTGAATTGTCATTTCTTTCATTTCATAAACGTTTTTTTGTCCATCTGGACTACACTTACTCTTACTTTCCAACTTTTCATTTCTCCTCCTCTTCGTTTTCTTCTTCTCTCACACACTCTGAAACGCAAAATCGTAATCTCTATTCTACTATTATTTAAACTTCACATTGGTTATAAACTTCCTAATAAAAAGATATTAAAATAGACCGATGTCCAAATAGATTATTAATACATCATTTTATCTACGTTATGTTTTCCAGTACTACACCAGTTCGAGTAAAAACTTGCAAACTTACTTTACTTGTATAACCATTTTTCCGGACAGGTAAACCTTACAAATTTGAGGATATCATCGCGTGCTTCAGCTGTAACTAAAGGTAGCTACTATGCCATACCATTCGATGTTCATCCTGCCGCTAACTATACGGTAAGTCAGATATAGTGCGAGAAAGGGAGTGAGGAGAGAGATAGACAGACAGAGAGAGACAGACAGACAGAGAGAGACAGAGAGAGAGACAGACAGACAGAGATAGACAGTTGAGAAATATAAACAAATGTTGCTCAGTTAAGATACACTCAGTCATGAATGTTTCATGATTTTTTTTTTAATTTTCCTCCATATTTTATGAAGTTTTCTCACGTAGATCCAGTAATATAATATGCTATCACTATATTGTCCTTTCGTAACATTTGCACTATCTGGGATTTTAAACAGAATCGCGATGAACCGACTTTCCAAATTGGATATTGTTTGGATAGTCGCACAATGGAGCCTATATTTTCGGCAATGTTGTAACATCTGAATATGTACGCCTTGCTTAATGGGCATGTGCTTGATGTAATTAAAACTAATGCACACATCTCTGATAAGTGCCTCGTTACAAATTATTTTATTCACCTGTTACAAATTATTGTATTTCAATAGTCTAAATGCGAATTGCATACATTCCGTGTCGTCGGGTAGGACAAGCCATAATGTGTGCCCTACTTAGCAACAATTAATGTACACAAATCTCATTCTGACTAGTGAATTCTAGTTGTTGTCAGGCTATCCTACAATAACTGAAGTGTATTACTGTGTTATGTGTTTGTATTGGGAGTCTAGATAAGAGGGATGACAGACGGTATATAGGACAGACATACCATTTGTTTAACTGGGGAATGAAATAATTTGTTAAAAGGCACTTAACGCAGATTTGTGCATACATTTTGATTACATTACGAAAATGGTCTATTGCTTCTAACTCTTGTTAATCAGATATTTTCTTCGCTGTGTTTTACAGATTACAACGGATGTATCCGAGTACGTGGAAGTAGACGAACGGAAGAAACACATCCCGATCTGGATTTATATAGTTGCTGCATCGGTTGGACTTCTTATTGTTATACTTTTAATTCTCATTTTGTGGAAGGTGAGCAAGAAAGGGAGGAAAAAGAAAAAGGATGGGCATAAAATAAAAGAGGAAAATGGTTATAAGTTGGGATATCAAGAGATTGATTGAAAAGGCCGCATTATTCATTTATTTCTGTTTCCAAAATAGTTGTACCAAACATGGTATTACATTACACAACTTTGTATTCATTTGGGAAATATTATATCAAGTCTTTTGTCTTCTTTCTGCATGGCTGATCGTCAACGAAACGGAGTTAAGTCTTTTGTCAACTCTGTTTGTTGCTACGGCAGGCAGCCAGTAAAAAAGAATCCGTTTAATCAAATTATGGAAATGCAAACAGAAATTCGTTATTACTGGCTCATTTTTCCTGATTGAGGTGTCATATGAAAAGGAAGAAAAGTTAACATTCTCGAAATGTGATTTTCCCTTAGTTTTCTCCTAGTTCTTGACCGTGATTGTATAGCGAGTAAATAGTTGATTTGCTGTAGGTAGATAGAGAAATAAAAGCATGTTTTTGTGCCTGGTAACCTAAGCTTCTTAATTATACAGTTAGAGAATGCTATAGTTTTCTCATTATTTTTAGTGCGCATTGACAGTGTGAATACTATGAAAATATTGAACCAGTCTCTTAATGGGAACGCTTTGCATGCAGTACTTAACTTCCTCCTACTAGAACACATACAGTAGTGTTGTCTGTATTAGGATTGTGTGATGAAAACAAAATATTGTAGGAAATAATGGACCAACTAATGGGGACAGAAAACATGGACCAATAATTAGGGAATAACGGACCAACTATTGGGAAAAGGCGCCTGGACTAATTAGGGAAAAGTGTACCAACCATGTGTGAAAGAAAAATGGACCAATCAAATGATAGTGGGACCAAATATTCGAGGTGTCTATATGAGGCATTGTCTGGCTGTAGAGAGATACTCTTGGGCACTCCAAGGTGAACGGCATAAGAGAAAAACACTTTCGCTTAACTTTTAACTTTGCTCATCAGAATAAGATTTCCAAGAAGAGGAATTTATCATGATTAAATAGACATTAGTCGTAAATATTTTTTTTTGCAATTACGGAAAAATATGCGAGTTTGAAACGATGATAAAACCTTTCAATTGTCCAACCGATGGCTTTCTTATTATACTATTATCAAAGACAATCTTTCTGGTTAAGTTATCCTATGTTTCTGATAAGCAAATTGAGATGTTGAGAAAATGTTTCCTTGTCTCGTTTGATAATAACGTGGAATTATCTTTCTCCTTTCTCATGTTTTTTTTTTCTCGATGTACTCCTTGCTAACTTAGTTGTAGTTTACCATGCATGTTCTCCCAAGAAGCTGGTAACTTCTTGGTTCTCCGTAGCTTGAAGTAATGGTAGTTGTTTTTTGTTACCTTTCTAACCCCTTCTCTCTCTTTAGATCGGATTCTTCAAGCGGAAGAAGATCACTCCCGAACAGAGGAAGAAAATGGGCCATTCCGAATCCTCAAGATCACAAAAGTACGTCCCCTACAGCTATAGCACATGCCGATCTTTTCCCAATTGATCCTCAAGCAACTAACTGCGCGCGCAATCTTGAGTGTTCGCAGGGTTGCTCTTCGTCTATTCGTCTTTAGTGGCTTATACCAAAAATCGCACATCTTTGACATACATTGTTCAAGATGTTAAAATTGAAAATGAATCATTTTGAATAATGAGTTGATAAAATGCTTTGTGTTATTGCAACATTTGTAAAATCAAATACACTCGTTAGACATTGATATAGTAATATATTCCATTCTAAATATTTTGGTATCTGCAATAACATTTCTAGTCTTTCCAAAATGGCTTCCAATTTATTACTATTTGCCAAGCTTTGATAACAATGAATTGAAATAACTGAATTGTCAGAAGTACAAAAAGGTGGTATGTAACTTGTAATCGATGATTACCTATGATTGAATGATTGAAAATGAAACAAATTAAATTCAATTATAACATGACGTTAACTGAAGAAAGGCTTAAAGACTGTCATCTACTGGGGATTTTTGTTTTGCTGGGGGGGGGGGCTATCATTGTTGCACATGATAGTAACGATCCATTGTTCTCTTTGGCCAATCAGCGTCAGTGTTATAAAAACTGACATCAGTAAACTTTACACTGATTGGTTAGTGTCTAATAATAAATTAGTTGTAGCCTGCTTCGAATGCATTGAAAACTGCTTGGGGGTACTGTACGTTGAAACAAACAACGACGTCCGGAAATTTCCGAAATCTGGCCGATTTAATTTCGTGCAATTTCGGGGATCGGTTCAACTTCGGCTTAGAGCAAGAGGGGGAAATCGGCTAGTTGGTAGCACCGAAAAACTGAAGTGATCTCTGGAATCTGGAATCGTCTGTACGCCGTCTTAAAGTGTGTTGCATCCGCTTTTTAACTTCTCCTCTCTGTTTCATGGAATGCTTTCCAGCATGACACATTAGTTAGAGTAGAATATTTTCACTTTGTATTTACAAAGATTGATATTACAAATATCAATGCTATTATATTAATAACGTTATTTGAATATTCAAAACTTCTGAAGTCAGATTCACTTTGCAAGACAACAAGTACAATGTGTACAGCGCTTAGAACCTGTAGGTTAAGGCACTAGTTGAAATTCTGGTTCATTTTCTTCTTCAAAAAAAAATGATATTACAACGAGTAGAATTTCAAATAAAATAAAAAATACATGTACCTTAATATATTTTAATGATAATGGTAGAAACAATTTACACAGTAAAACCAGGGACTTGGAAGACAAGTCCAAGTCCCTGGTAAAACTATATAGATACTGTGTGATACATAAATGTGGTTGCTACAAATTAATACTTTTTGTATTGGGTTGAACTGGACTAGAAAACCTTCAGCCGATAAAATGGGCGATTGAAGAATTTTATTGTTCATGTGTGTTTTTTAATCCATGTTTCGTTTGCACATTAACTGTGCTGCATGACTAGTAGACTGAAATCATTCAATTTCTAGTGTTACTGCACAATCATCTCCATAATGTACCTTAATACCTTATAATATTACTTTTGATGTACATCGCTCTAGATAAATCGTTGAGCTGTTGTTTTCTTGCCATATTTGTTCATTTTTATAATTTTGTTGTACTTGTTGTAGTTTCACTACGAGCCTCAAGTTGATTTTTGATATCTCCATACATAATGTTGAACTGATGCTAATAAAGGCATGCGCCTTGAATGAATTCAATATGTCATTTTACCCTTTAAAAACACGGTGTAATGTATACGAATCGCTGCAATATGGCATTGATTGTGGACACATTAACCCCCTTGCCACATCCCACCCCAACCCCCCCCCCCCCTTTTTCACCTCTCTCTCTCTCTCTTTCTCTCTCCCTCCGCCCTTCTCCGTCTCCCACATACGCGCACGCACACACCACGCATACACACATTCATTTCATAATCTATGGACGTATTGTATTTTCACCATTGTCTTAATTTAATTCATAAAGACAAAATTTCATCCATTCAGAGCTGATTCTTAAAAATTGATATATTACTTCGATGAATGTCATATGCCATACATAATCGGAGAAATAAGTATCGCTTAGAGTTTAATCATTCAAGTTCTTTATAAAAACTATTCAAAAATATAAAAATCCTAGTCAAGCAAATGTTAATTATATCTTCTTTTCAGATACAGTCCATAGGATTTATGCATAGACTATTTATTTTGTGTATTATTAAACCTTTGAACTTCAATTGACTGAGCTAATTTCAATTTAAAGAGGGTTTAAGTTTATACTGTATACCGCCACCTGTATTGATATACGCTGCCCAAATGAAGATATCTTTATGTATACAAGTTTTTTAAATTAATTTGTCTTATCTTATACGTAAATATCAATGCTATTCAATAGTGGTCGCCTATGTAAATTTTCGAATAATTCAAATTAGAAAATTTTAGATTATTTCGCACTCCATAGTCAGACGACCTAAAAGTTGGATCTATTAAAAGTGTATTATATAAAATGTGTACATAAAAGTGTATATATTTTCTACTGTACTTCCGTTGTATATATAACTGTTCATAATTATTGAGTGCAATAATCGTATTTGTTATCAAAACATTAATAAATCATCTTCATAAACATGAGCTGCATACAAAGTCGTTTAGTGTGGTCATTACATCTGGACACCATTGGGGATGTTTTTAACGTAAAGGAATACATCTTGCAAGAATTTATTGTCATAATTGGCCAATCGTTGATTGCAGGAGTGCGTGACTGAGAGAATGGGTGAGTTGAAGGGAAAGATGATTTCTGGTTTAAGGTGAGATATAAATTTGGGAGATTTTAATTTTCTTAAAATAGTTACGAAGAATATGTACATAGAACTATCTCCTGAAAAGGATTGTTTATTCAATCCCCTCAAAATTGGAATTTGACAAGGAAATGTTGAAACTAGCATACCTTAAAAGGAAAATGTGTCCCCCTTTTAAATTGACCTAAAGTAGCACCTAAATATGTGTTATTCTTTTCTTGTCGACAATGTTTCGAACTTTTTCCCCCGTTTTTCTTTCTATACAAAATTCGTTATCTGCCGCTGGATGATAACATTAAACAATGGCGGTATTTAGTGCGAATAGACCATTTTCGTAATGCAACCAAATGTATGCATATACCTTCGTGATGATAACACTAAACAATGGCGGTATTTAGTGCGAATAGACCATTTTCGTAATGCAACCAAATGTATGCATATACCTTCGTGATGATAACACTAAACAATGGCGGTATTTAGTGCGAATAGACCATTTTCGTAATGCAACCAAATGTATGCATATACCTTCGTGAAGCATCTCGATACGATTGATTTCATTCACCTGTTATGAATAAATATATCTCAATATTCAGAACTTAAATTGCATACATTAGTTGTTGCTAGGTAGGACTAATATTATGGGTTGTCCTACCTAACAACACGTAACAAATACCAGGGTCAACGAATCGACGGGGCTCGGGGATGAAAAACTTTAGATAAACTCTATGAGGCTGTTTACACCGGCAGAGATAGCGCACGCTAGACCGCTCTATCTCTGCGGTGTGGAAGGTACAACGTCGTTTCGGTCCGCCCAACAGCGAGCCACGGCGAGCCAAAACGGCGTGCCTCTGGAGCACCTCTTGGTGGTGGTCCACGAGAGATAGCGCGGTCTAGCGCGCGCTAGAAAAAAAGGGGTGCTACGATAGACCGCGCTATCTCATTGCGGTGTGAACAGCCTCTTAGACCATAATAACATCTATGACCATAATAGCACTGCTATAAGGAAGCCGATGAAACACAAAGCTACAAGCCTCATCGGGGTCATCTTGTTCTTCTGGAGTTTTTTCATACTTATCAGTGTTCTAGGACGAACCGTTTCAACTGCTATCCCATGTACCACGTCATCACCACTTTGCAGTATCCTCTGACAAGCATCTGGGCACTGTTTCATAAAACTTGATATCGATATCAAGTTACAAGCTACTGTTATAAGCTATTGAAATCATGGCATCTGATTGGCTGAGAGCAAATTTGTCATAGACCTTTAGGAGTTGTTATAGATAACAAGTTTTATGAAACGGGCCCCAGGTCTAGAATGTGGCCCCACCAATCTGGACCACGTAGGATAGGTTGGACTGGAATAGAAATGGTACGCCATTCTAAGATCCGACAACAGAAGTCTCCAGAAACTGGGTACAGCTCCGATTGCTTGAGCAAGCTCATCGTTGAATTTCGTTGGAAGGGTCCGCCGGTCCGGAGAAGCAGGGAGGTGAAAGAAAAGGAGGCGAAACTCTTGTAATTTATTCAAACGCATTCTTGAGTTCTAAAGCGTAACAATGGGATGTGTAACATTCCACTTGGTTTTGAAGTTCCATGCTCCGAACCGCGCTTCCACTGCGGGGACTTTCGGAAGCCAGGCACCAGTTTTACATTTATTACAAAATATTAAATTACCGGCAAAATTTTAGTGTAAATCAAAAACTTTATATGGGGATTTTATTGGGAATAGTGCATCAAACAAATTTTCAAATTTAAAACTCCGTCCTTCCTTTAATTTGTGTGCCAGAGTTGGTAAAAGAAAAATTACATCCTGTCAAAAACTCAAAAAATTTGTGCGTGCTTTAATGTCCCGTTATTTGATCCATGGTTTACAATCTTCAATAACATTAAGTTTGCTAATGCGTGTTTTCGCGTGTTTTTTGTATTTTTCAAGTTTAAAAAAGGATGAAAGTACACAAGTTTGTGTTCGCTTGTTCTACTCTTTACACATTCAACAATGGATGATAAATCATTGGAAGGGACAGCGAACAGTTGCAGTGATACCATTTTCTGATGTAGGAATTCTAACTCCTGAAATGTCATGTGCTCTTTTATCTCACCACCTGGTCAACAGTTGCAGATTAGCGCATAACTTTTCGGCGGCTTGGAGCATGGGGTCAAAGGAGAGCGGCTTGATTCCAGTCCTTCTCTATCACGTCCCTGGGAGAAGTAAAAGACGAAACGTTAGTGCAGGCGGAAACTATGGGTGGTATTCTCGAAAGCGGACTAACTTTAGTCTATCGTTTAATCCTCCGACTAATTATGGAATGCCAAGTGTCCATATGAATATATTTTTGAATAATTGGATATGTAACTGAATTACCATGATAACATAATTACTTCATAGTTATATTGTTGTTTATTAATTATGTTATTACATTTTATTTTAATTTATTGACAGATTAAATTATTCAAAAAAATCTTCATATGGACACTTGGTATTCCTTAATAGGTCGGAGGATTACATCATTGACTAAAGTTAGTCCGCTTTCGAGAAAACCACACATAGGGTTTTGGGGTGGACAAAGCTGATTGTGGAATATGGCTAAATTTGAGTATTTACATATACTGTTGATACTATTAATAGTACGTGACTGAACAATCGTTTAATTTAACGTTATTGAAAGTCACGTTATAACTATTATATTTATGAGGATCAGAGTTCCACGACCGATATACCTGGCGCCACAACAACATACTACGCATCATGCTCAAAGACATTAAAAACACTTCAAACAATTCCTCCAAAGTATATGCAACATAGAAGCAGAAAGCATCAATGGGGGAACCATACCACCAAACATAATACGTACCCAACACAAACCAGAAATCTGCCACATCGACAACAAAAATAAGGACATTATCATCATCGAACTCAAAGTCCCCTTAAACATTGACAAAGCACATCAACGAAAACAAGACAAATACGCAAGCCTCATACATGACATAACATCAACAGGGTGGAAGAGCAAGCTAATCTGTATTGAAATCGGTTCACATGGACTCATAACCCCACAAAATAAATACCGCCTAAAGGAAATCCTCAAAATCAATAACTCAACTAGGTACCCGGAATCCTGGGACGAAATATTGAAGGCCGTTCTTGTTAGTTCTTATGTAATATTCCAAGGAAGACGTGAGCCAGCATGGCAATTTGAGCAATACCTTTAATTTATCAATCTATATACATTAATTTTTCATCATTTCCTGTTTATCAATGAACTTGTATCCATTCTGTACCAAAATGACAATATTTACCGTAATACGTAATTTATCTCGATTCAATTATACACTATTCATTTATGTATCATGTATGGGGATCTTTCCTTCCTCATCATAATGTTACAATCTTCTTCTTTTACCCTGTTCTGTACTATACTACTTCTGTTTTCCTCTCCTTTTCTCTTGTTCTCCTTTTCACATCTTCCTTTTCCCTTACTCTCTATCCCGGTGCTCCTTGTTATCACATATATTATTACACTGTAACTAATTAATGAATTTTAAGCGCTGATGAACTAGTCAATCCAGGGAGGTCCTCCCTGGTCAATCAATACATTAATACATAACATTTAATAAAGAAAATAACATTCCGTATTTAGCGCAAGGAAAAAAAGTAATAGTATCATTTTTCCACACATACACACACATCCACACCCAAGCATAATACATGAGGGGACGGCAAACTAGAGATTACTTCTATTTGATCTTACTTAAACATCTCATGAAGCGGATTTTACATTCGTATTCGTTTGCGACTACTGTATACAAACAAGACTTTATAGATTAGGGATTCTTTATAGGTATTGCGGAGTATTATCGAGCTTGAACAAATACTGTCTGGATTTAGGGTGTAGTGGAGATTTGTGGAGTCAGTCTAGCTTGCCCCTGCATCACGACAACGTTCCAATATTTCTGGCTTTAGTGTGTAGTGGAGATTTGTGGAGAAGTTGTAGCTTGCGCCTCCTTCACAACAAAGTTCAAATTTGGTGTATTCTGTGTAAAGTAAGTTTAATGTTTATTCTGCGAAAGTGTATCTGCTGGTTTTCGAGAGTTTTTGCTCATTGAGTTTTATCTATGTTTTTGTTTTTAACCTCAACCCACTGGTCGCAGAATAACTGTTACATGGCTCTCAGTAAATACAGAAAGATACATTCGGTGTCACGTGTAAAATCATAATAAAACTTGGGTATAATTGAATGTATTTGGAAAGTTAATTTGCAAATCTAATCAAATGAACGGGCGGCTACTATTCACCAGTTAAGCGTTGCCCAATACTATATATTAGACGGTGTAGAAGTGTGTTTAAAACGTGTTTAGTGAGTACGTTTATGGCCTCTGGCATGTATGAGGATAAAGTAGAAGAAACTGCAGATAAAAACGTATTCTACTAAACTTTAAACCCGTCGATAATGTTCAAAATCAGATTCAACAATGGAATTTAGTCTGTTCAACGTTATCTTTGACCCAGGATTACAATAACTGAATTATTAGAATACGGAGTTTCGTATCGAGCCACATCTGTGGTGCCTGAACTTTACGATCTATCCGTCGTTTTTTAATCAAAGTTCCCAAAGAAAGAAAACAAGATGGAGACTGAGACTGGACCAGACGTCGTTGTGTCCCAATCACGTGTGACGGTCCACCAGCACAAGGGGATTACCCTTCCCAGTCACGTGCTTCCAGAGATGGTGGAGGATCTCCAGTCCTTCAAGTTTCGACCAGATGATATCCTGATAGTAACATCTCCCAAATCAGGTGAGCTCATGGTGATATCACCTTTAAATCCCCATTGCACTACGTATATAGCTACTTGCGCCCTCTATATAGCAAATAATGCCTAATCGGTGACCATTGGTCCCCCATGATCCCCTAGTTCTTCTGTTTATTGAGAGCTGATTTGATGAGATAACCACCTGTCAGTGACCATGCAGGGAGGTATAATCCCTCCTGGCCAAATTAGTGCATTGGGGCTTTCATACTACACTCTTAAAAATACGTGGTCAAGAAATGACCACGTCATGGTCGTTTTTAATCACGACCACGACGTGGTTATCTTTTGACCACGTATTTTTAAGAGTGTAGCATATTTCAAGCTAGTGCAAGGGGGGGGGGGCATTTCCGACCAACAACAACAAAAAAATCATCACTTGTGGAAAGGTTGAGAATCACTGTAAGTAAAGAGAAGTACCTAGTGTAGACATATTTTCCAAAGGCTTAGTTTTTTTCTCCCTCAAATGAGTCATTTTGATAATGCTAACCCCCCCCCTCCCCCCTTTAACGACAAGTAGCCCTCCTAAATAAAAGTATATCAATAATGTGTGAGGCCAAGATCTGGATACGTCAATGGTGTAGCACATGGTCGTGCGTGGAGTAGAACATGAACCCCTATTTTGCATTCTGACTTTAGAATTACAGTTATGAATGAATAAATGCGTATCGTGGCACTTGAGTGTTAATTTGGTTACATTACGAAAATGGCCTATCCAGGCTTTGAGTGAGTGATGTCGAAAGTAGTTTTCGCACAGAAGTATATGTGCATAATGTGATTACGTAATTCATACAATGCAAATAAGCAAACCAAGATATAAAGACACGAAGTGAAGATGAGTGATATTTCATGATGTTTCTTTATTCATCTTTCAACAACTTAGTAAAATTGAATAAGATGTAAGTCCGTAATTGTTACGAATAATTGTATTTCAAAAGTCAGAATGTGAATTGCATGCATATTATGTTTGCTCGATAAGACAAACAAATGGCTTTTTCTACTCAACAACACGCAAAGTATGTACATTATAATTTTGACTATTCGTAACAGGTGTATGAAATCATTTTAACGGGGAACTTAAACAAGGACTTATGTATTAAATTTGATTATATTGAGAAATGACCGCTTTATTTGTTAAAATACAAAATAATACAACAGCAGAGTGAAGTTCAATAAATAGACATTTATTGTCTTTATGAATAGACCCCACTTACGTGAGCAAATCAATATTGACATAGCTGTCTAGACTAAAACAAATAGGCATATTATTTAATTCAATCGTCTAAATAAAATAAAATATGTTCGAACTCAAAACACACTCACTCTTCCGAAAAAGGAGTAGCAGAGAAATTCAATAACGGAGAAATGTAAGCGTTTTATAATCGACATGCATTCGAGCAATTTCACACCAGAGAGGTCTGTACAGTAGAACCCGACTCCTCCTGTGCTTGTGCAAGGACAGAGGTTTTTCCCACGCGTTGATATCCATTTTATAACAAAAGTTCAACACGCAAACAGCTTCAAAGTGATCTACTGACCGATAAAGGAAGCGGTTCCAAAATAGTAACTCATTCATAAAAGAACAGAAACCTCGTATCTTAATGTGAATAAAATCGAAAACCTAACCTTGTTTTCCTTTCTCGTCCAATAATTTATTCTGCCGTTTCCTGAAAATGATAATAATTTCAGTTCAATGTTTAATCACCCCTGCAATGTTGTTCGTACGGAATCTATTCCTTTCTTTTCATCTCAGGTCATTTCTTCTTCGTCGAGAACAGTGCTGACTCCTTAATTTTAAAAGCGGTGTTAGAGCTCGATTTCAATAGAATTTTTGTCTCTGGACACCAAAACCAATAATATGTGTGCGTGCGTGGGTGTGTGTGTGTGCGTGTGTGCTTGTGTGTGGAGTGCGTACAGTATTAAAATACATGTATATGTATGTATTTAACATTAATCAAAAAGCTCCTTTTCTTCAGCTTCAAACGAAATCGTTATGATGTCATCCACCCATTTTCTCCAGGAACCCATTGGGTGACTGAGACTACAGGACTCATCATGGCCGATGGGGTTTGGGAGAACGTTAAACGAGACACCATGAAAAACCATCTCGAGTTTGCTATCATCGACAAAGATGCATTCGATGAAAGTGTTCCTCTGGTCAGGTTCTATCAACAGTTGGACAAGATGCCGTCACCACGGATTATGTTCACCCATCTTCCTCTTGAGTTGCTACCACCTGGTGTATTCGATGCAAAAGCAAAGGTCAGAGTCCAGATTCGTTACGCCCATTGCACTCGGGGAGTTATGCGCTGACGCACGATTGCGCGTAGCGCGGAAGCTTTTACGTTTCATTAATTATTAGAGAAAGAAGACGATTAGTTGTATCGTGTCCTTGTCTGAATTCAGTCCCCCCCCCCCTCCCGCGTGAAGCGCGGAAGCTTTGACGTTTCATTTAATTATTACTCTAAATCCTTGTCTGAAATTATTTTTGCCCATCTCGCGCGCAGTGCGGAAGCTTTGCCGTTTCATTAAATTATTAGAGAAAGAAGACGATTCGTTGTGCCGTTCTATACTCTTAATCCTTGTCTGAATTCAGTTTCCCTACTGGCCCCTGAACGGTCCACGTCCAGTGTTACATGATGTACGTATGGAACGTTCGTTCGCAAATCTCCCGGCAGTGCTAATTGGCGCAGTAGCTTCTGGAAAGGAATGTTTTACTAGTGTTACTGTTAATGGCCACTAATTAGGCCCATTAGTGACTATAAAAACATATGCTCTTCCTGGCTTTTGGGGAATGTGTCAGTTTGCAACAGAAATGGAGAAATGCGCATTTTGTTGAAAATCATGTGATATCACGAACATTAATTTTATAAATCACTTGAATGCAATTAAAAATAAGTCATGGTTTAATTTTATTGGGGGGGGGCTAATGCCCCCAAGCCCCCCCCCCCCCCCCCCCCCCCCGGTACGCCAGCATCAGGAGGTAATTGTTCCTGGGTAGTCGTCCTAGAGGGTGGTTGCCCTAGGGGGTAGTTGTCCTATGGTGTAGTTGTCCTAGGGGGTAGTTGACTGGGGAGGGTATCCGGGGTGGATGTCCTGGGGGTAGGTGTCCTAGAACCCCAAAATGAATGAAAATAATTAGAGTAATAAAGGGATTATCTGTATATTCAAATTCCATTTTTGCTACAAATTCTCTGTAAATCAATAAATTATACAACAAAACCACAAAACAAAAATCAATGATATTAATAATTTCAGGTGTCTGTAAGGTCGTGAGTTTGAACATTTGAAAAGGAGACATACTGTATTTTGTAGGTGGTGTAATGAGCAGGTTTCTTCAGATACGCCGATGTAGTAATAGGCCTATAGTAGAACTAGAAGAGTAGTAAATGTTATAGCATTATATCACGATTACCACTGTAATATTCATCCTTGTTATTCCTACTTTATCAGATAATTTACAGTGCCAGGAACCCAAAAGATGTTTTAGCATCGTTGTATAGATTCGTCGGAAAGATGCCAGAGTCCAATTTTGTAACATGGCCTATGATGTATGCTTCAATCTTCACTGATCAACGTAAGTTGGATAAATGGTGATGATGATGATGATTATGATAATAATAAGAAGAATGATAATAAGAACAAGATAATAACAATTATAATTATGATAACAATGATAATAAAGAATAATACAATAATTGTTATGAAACTAATAATAAATGGTGATAGCACCTTCTCACTCTCAATCATGGAGCCACAAAAACCTATGGTGACAGGACATTTGCATGTGGTGGACCAAAACTTTGGAACCCTCTCCCAGTGTCGCTACGCTCCATGACTGATGTTGAAGTTTTTAAGAGAGCGCTTAAAACTTACCTTTTTGATGAATGCTTCGAGTAATTATGTAAACGTACATTTTACATTGTGAAGCGCTTTGAAAGGGCCTTCGGTCCTGAAATGCGCTATAAAAGAACGAACTATTATTAGTAGTAGTATTATTATCAATGATAATAATCCGTTCTTGTATAGGACACAGTTATCACGTTATGATATTGCATCCCTACGCGCATATGGCAAGCCGTTTTAACATTTATTCATGTTTCTTGATATCAAGAATTCTATTCTTGATATCAAAAAATGAATTCTTGATATCAAGAAATCGAATTCTTGATATCAAGAAATCGAATTCTTGATATCAAGAATTCAATTCTTGACATCAAGAATTACCATTGCTTTACAACGTAAAATCATTTCTTTTCTTGATATCAAGAACTCAATTCTTGATATCAAAAAATGAATTCTTGATATCAAGAAATCGAATTCTTGATATCAAGAATTCAATTCTTGACATCAAGAATTACCATTGCTTTACAACGTAAAATCATTTCTTTTCTTCATATCAAGAACTCAATTCTTGATATCAAGAACTCATTTCTTGATATCAGGAAATTGAATTCTTGATATCAAGAAATCGAATTCTTGATATCAAGAAATCGAATTCTCGATATCAAGAATTGTTATAGTGAATGATTTCGAACGCAAAAGTATTGCACGAATTCATTCTGAGCGCGCCGTTTTAACATTTATTCCTATATCCTGCCTGACCGGTCCGGTGTAGGTTGGCGAAAGTCAATGTATCGCGAGAATTCAACTAATGCAAGAATACATCAGGGACTTGGGAGACAAGTCCCTGAATACATGTTGCCAGTCTGTGCAGACCGGTGCAGTGTGGGTTGTCGAAAGTCAATGTATCGCGAGAATTCAACTAATGCAAGAATACATGTTGCCAGTTTACTATGCATTTACCGTCTCTGTGATATTCCTTGTAATGTTTTCTATATTTTATACTGTTCAAACATATGTTTATTTGGACCATTTTTTCCAGTTTAATTACTTGTATAAAACATACAAAAAACGCATCTTTCAAAAACGTAAGACGGCAACATATCACGAAATGATTTCTTGATATGTTGCTGTTTTACAAAAAAAATTACGGACGCGTATTTATTATAATGTATTAAGAGTAATTGAACTAGATATATATATCTATGCTAATATAAACAAACAGTTTTGTTGGCATTATATATTTATAATAAATTGCTTTAAAAAACATGGCTAAACAGTACCAACGAAATAATTTCTACAAGGACATTCACATAGACATTCAGCAATTAAGTACATCGGTAAGGGCTCATGAATCACATAACGGAGGACCTGGGTTCAATCCTCACTCGATCGGTGCTTAAATCCTTGACCAAAGTATTTTATCCACATTATTTTGTCCCTCTTGCGCCAGATGCAATGGGTACCTGACAATGCTAAAGGGTAATGATGATTGCATGGCTCTCAGGAAGCCGCGATCGTAACTGTTTTTCGAAAAATCAACACAAGAGCAAATTCATTACCCTACTGCATGTCCCATGGAAATCGGGTCCCGATCACGCACAATAAGGGAGTTTACAGATAGCACATGGTACAAATGACGCCAAATATCCACAGATCTTTTACACATGGAGACGTTCCACTTTGAGCATATTAGAATAATAACTGCCAAAGTGATGTGCTTCGTGAATACCTTTTGTTTGCCCTCTTGAAAAGAATGCTTCCACCTGCGTATCAAAGAATGTACCGTTGGTGCATAAATGAATAATGTTACATAACTTTCATGAGCGCATATCCAGTATTCATCTCTGTGGGTTTTACCTTTTTGGTACAAATGACCTTTATCTGCCCATGCGCAGATTGTATCTATGAACTGGCTTATTGAATAGGTGACGCGCAACCAGGCACGGATCCAGGATTTCTCAGGGGAGGGGGCCCAATTTTTTTTTTTTTTTTTGCTCCCGAAAATTTGAAAATCGCGCCGGCCGAAAAGTCGCTCAGTGGGGGGGGGGGGGGGGGGGGGGGGGTAGGTGAGCACATTTTTGGGGGGGGCCTCGAAAATTTGAAAATTTGCACCCCCCCCCCCCCCCTTGAGCGCCAGGGGGGGGGGGGGCATCCCCCCAAAAAGCTAAAAAATCACGTGTTTTTACATGGTTATTTCCCCAGGGGGGCCCGGGCTCCACGCCCCCCCCCCCCTGGATCCGCCACTGCGCGCAAGGCTATGAATTTGCCGTAAGTTGATTTGATGAAAGGAGTTGCCATCGTGCTATAATAAGACCATAATAATAGTTCACCTAATTCCTTTTTCGTTTATGCCCTATGTGTCACTATCCAACTAACTTGCATAGCAAACGTAACATAACCTCCTCCCTATTTTGTCAAGCTCTCACGCAGAACACGATACATGTAGCTCACGGTGTCCAATGCCATATTTATGATGTATACCCAGCATAATTTGAGTCGTTTTTCACCGGTCTTACTAAGTGATGAAAATATGCCAATTAACCAATTCTGGTAATAGACATGATGGGGATGGATGTGAAATGGGTTCGCTCTCTATCTCTTTCTTTCTCTCTCTCTCTCTCTCTCTCTCTCTCTCTCTCTCTCTCTTTCTCTCTCCTTTTCCTTGTCTTTGAATTCCCTTTTTATATTTTCTCGATCGGGGGCGCCTCCGTATATCTACGCCACTTATATTTAACCACGAATTTAAATCTCTGTGTTTTCTCTTTATAACCTCATTCAGACTTTTATGGTCCTTGGGACAAGCACGTTCTCTCGTATTGGAAGCAAAGGAACGAGGAAAATGTTCTCTTCTTGAAATACGAAGATATGAAAAAGGTAAGAAATATATAACTAATTATGATTAACTTCGTTCACATAGCGAGGATAACGTCCGGTCTCACAAAAAGAATTTTGATTTCTATTAAACTGTCAACAGCTTTGTGAATAGTTGGTTATTTCTTTGATAGGTATTAAAGAGTCGTAAAATCTGTATTCTATTTCTAATTTGATTTAAATTTAACAATATGCGAATAGAAAATGAAGCTTTATGAATGACAAATGAAAATGACATACAATAAGCAACTTTTTATAATCGATGTCACCGTCAGTTTTGATTACTTTAAATCAGTATTAAACTTAAAATGTAATCATGTGAATGATCGAAAGTGTCAAATTGATTGCCGAACGCCAATTTGTCGAATTTACTTTTTGTTTTCATTCTATGGCGTGCTTATTGCTGAGTAGACGGAGACAAAATGAAGAGCGGGACGATGGAGGCATCTAAGGCTGCGTTCATGCTTAAATTTTGAAGGCAGAATGAGCGATCTGAAACGCTCATCGTAAACGCTCATCGTGATCGCAGTTCCACGATGTACTGTTCATGCTTACTTCTCTGGCTCCCCCAGGCAATTCTCCGTGTGTGGCCTTAATTGGTCTTCCAGCTGGATTCGCAAACCTTCACTGTGCATGCTACGTAGACCCACTAGAGGTCAGTGCGTTGACCCCATTTAAACGCGTTTACAAATTGTAAACGCATCTTTTTGTGAGTTTACGATCGGCGATCGTGATCGCCGTTTTTCGGTGATTTTACAAAAGTGAGCATGAACGCAATCGTGTTTAAAACTAAACGCGTAACAGATGCCTGATTCTGGCCGTCAAAATCAAGCATGAACGAAATGCGAATTTTCCATGTTCATAAGGCTACCGATTAGGAAGAGAGTGCGAGAGATGCTCGATTACTGTGCACGTGTCTAACACCCCCCCCCCCCCCCCCCCCCCCTTCACGGTTCGCCCCTCTGCATATGTGTTGGTTTAACATGTTTACCCCATATTGGATAAATGTTCAATTTTTGGAACACTTTACTCAATTTTGAGTTAACTTTTACTCAACAAACATGCATGTGTCTATTTTACCCAAAATGTAACGGTCTTGGTCTAGTGGGTGCGTCGATGGTCTGTGGATAACATGGTTTGCGGTTCGACTCCCACCGCGGCACTTATGTCCTTTAGCAAGATATAAATCTATACTTACCACTCCCCAACCTGATTTAGTAAATGGGTACCTAGTGCTACCTTGTTTGGCGTTCAACAGTAAGGGGATATAGCAACGTCGATCCGGCGCTTCTCAGTGGCTGCCGGGCTCACGATCAATTGGGCAAAAAGAATTTCGGTTTAATAAAATTTATGAGTGAACTAAAATATTATTATTATTATTATTAGATTATTATTAAGGTCAGGATACTAATACTAGCTTGTATGTGCCTTGAACATCCCCTGGGATGCACACGTGAGCAATATTAATGTTCTCATTGTTACTAATATAAAAATGTTACCATTATCTTTTTAGAGTGTAGCTTCCGACAAAACCGTTATCAATGTAAAACTTTGATCTTGCAGAATCCTGCTAAGATCGTCACTCAGATTGCCGAGTTCATCAATCACCCAATCTCCGACGATGTCAGAGACGTGGTCGTCGAGAAGACCTCCATCGACCAAATGAAGAAAGAAATGAAGAGACTGGAAGAGACGGAAGAAGATGGTTATCTCTTCAGCAAGGCATACGGCAAATTCAACTATTTCCAAAAGGGTAATCACTACTATCATTTTCTTGTGTCTATTTTGGGCAACCCCCCCCCCCCCTCCAATAATAATAGCGCGTTTTCGCAACCGGCGACGCGGCTTTCCACAACGCTAATCTTAGCGGGGTCGTACTCAGAGCGAAAATTTCCGGCTAGCGTCCAAACCTACGACGGTATTCAGCCGCCACCCCGTACTAGCTCGACTCCCGACGATAATGCCGCAGAATACCGTCGTAGGTTGGGACGCTACGCAGAAATTTTCGCTCTGAGTGTGACTCCCCGCGAAGCTTAACGTTGTAGAAGGCCGCGTCGCCGGTTGCGAAAACTCGCTAATACCGTAAGATAGGAAAACACACGACCCGTGACGTATCCAGGCCATGGTATGGGCCAAAATAATGAATTCGATGCGAAAATCTTGTATATAATTACCGGAGACCGCTGCTGCATGGGTCTCGAATGCTGGTCCTCGAATGCTGGTCCTCGATTGTAATAATATTCATTATTATTCTTTTTCTTCGCCTCCCTATCCAGGCGTCATTGGAGACTGGAAGAACTATTTTACAGTGGCTCAAAGCGAAGAATTCGATATGGGACTGGAAGACAGACTAGGTGAATCTGGACTCAAATTCGACTGGGAATAATTTTGTGGGCTCAAACTTTATTGATTTATAATTCTACAATACGACTTCATCTTGATTTAATACGGAGATGTTGTGTGGCAAACGAGAAACAAGGTTGGCAGACCTATCTTGAATTATTAAAAAAACGTCCACAGTATTCAGCTGGGCTGGAAAACTATTTGTAAAAGCAAATGATTCATTTTGTGTTATTCACTCATAACTAATAAAACAGGGTTACTACTCTGAGTTTCACGCCTTGCAAGCGATCATCAGGCAACTGATAGCATCTTTAAGTTATCAGTTGCCTGATGATCGATTGCCGGCGTGAAACTCAGAGTAGCAACCATGTTCCATTAGTCTGCCTTATTCAATTTTTTTTGTTGCTCTGCCTAGGCATTGAGCACTGTACGGAAGGATAGAGCAAACCTAAGTATATATGTTTGTTTATGAGTGTCTTTTTTATTTCACTTTTTGATCTTAAGTATCTTTTTGTTTTTTGGCCCCGTGGAAGACCAGCAGCAACAATACAGCAGCAGCAATATACTGTTGTCGCTGATAATAGTTTACCGTTATTGTTTTCTTTTGACTCTCTAGAATTTCATTTCGGGATCTTTATTGGCCCCCTCATAAGTTGGAAGAAATTTGAATTCTCAAACTCATTTGGCTCGATTCGGTGCATGCGTTCTAGTAATATTTGACTGAAAATTATCGACTATAGATTCCAATGGATATTTTTTTCCTGAAAGGGGAATATTTTATGTCACGATTACAAAGACTCGGATGTTATTACATTCAAAGGTTATCTTAGTGATGGAATAATTAAATCCATGTTTTGGGAACCAGTTACTCATTATGAGGTACGGGACTATTTATTAACTTTAAATGTAAAGGAAGCTTGCGGCTTTGATGATATTCCAGCCCGATTACTGAAGCATGCTGCTGAAGTAATTGCAAAACCACTATCTTATATTTATAATCAGTCATTATTGAACGGTGTGTTCCCAGATGCAATGAAAGTAGCCAAAGTTACACCAATTTTTAAAAAGGGAGATAGAAATGTCCCAGGCAATTACAGACCTATTTCAGTTTTGCCTCTTTTGGCCAAAATATTTGAGAAATTAGTAAACAAGAGGCTACTTGGTTATTTTGAAAGAAATGGTGTCTTGTATAAGCACCAGTATGGCTTTCGTAAACATTATAGTACTAAGTTGTCTTTAATTAATTTGGTTAATGATGTGCTAAAATCACTGGATAAGGGCAGTGTAACACTAGGTGTATTCCTAGATTTCCAGAAAGCTTTTGATACAATTGATCACGCAATATTGGCTGGAAAATTAGAACATTATGGAATAAGGGGCCTGCCTCTCCAGTGGTTTAAAGATTATCTTTGTAATAGATTTTAGTTTGTGAACTATGATGGACATAGCTCATTGAAGCAGATAATAACATGTGGTGTTCCTCAGGGTTCTGTGTTGGGACCTACACTGTTTTTGTTGTACATAAACGATTTACCAAACTCAACAAATTATTTTAATTTTAGACTTTTTGCCGATGATTCTAACTTGTTTCATACGTTTTCACCGAGACAGAATTTAATTGATATGGATAATATAGTTAATATGCATCTTGACAAGGTGACCAAATGGTGTAAGGTGAATAAACTTACAGTCAATCTATTAAAGACTAATTATTTGTTAATAAGAGGGAGTAGGCAATCAGTAGTGACTCAAGGGGTGCTAAAAATAGCAGAGACTGAAATAGCCCAGGTTGATGTTGCATCATTTGTAGGAATTTATATAGATCAACACTTGACGTGGAAACCTCATATCCAAAGGGTTAATAAGTTGATTAGGAAAAGAGTTGGTGTTTTATATAGATTAAGACAGTTTGTGCCAAGGCGTGTTTTATTGTTACTGTATAAGACGTTAATCCAACCGCATATGACCTACGGAATTGAGGTTTGGGGAAGTAATTATGAAATGAACATGAAGTGTTTATTATTAAGCCAAAAGATGGCACTAAGAGTTATAACGTTTAGTCCAATTAGGACTCATTCACTACCGATATTCCAGGAGCTAAAATTATTGAATGTGCATCAACTCCATAAATTATCTGTTTGTGTTTTTATGTATCAATTATTGAATGATAAATTGCCACAGTCTCTAATTCAGTATTGCTGTTTCATAGAGCACAACTATGAAACTAGACAAAGAGAAAGTAAGAAGTTAAGTGTGCCTAAAGTAAGGACAACGCAAGGTAAATTTTCAATGTCATTCAGAGGCACACGCTATTGGAATGATCTACCCCTTTCTGTAAGGGAGAAAGCATCAGTGTCTTGCTTTCGTAGAACTCTTATATCACAAATGTTAATAGAATAGTTGTTTATAACTTAGAACCAAGGCTCTTGCCTTTTGTAAATATTTTGTTATATAATTCTTCATCTTTTTTTTAGTGTAAAATACCAAAGCTTTTTATATAAGCACAAAACACATTTACCCTAGATGTAGAATAGTTTGTAGCTTAGGTATGAATTCAATAGTTATTCATATTTATTCATTACATTCTCATTTATTGCTGTGATACTTTTTGCGTGTTAGTGGTACTAGAAACGATTAGCATTAAATGCTATTTTCTGGTCCCATTTATCCTTTCAATGTTAATTAATCATTCACATTTGATTGTTATATTGATGTACTTTTTGTTTTGGATAATAAACTTCAAACTCAAACTCAAACTCAAACTCACACATACTTGTTATACAAGCTTCATTATTGTGAATGTGAAATGATTCCTTTGAATATCTTGATAACAACAATCTATAACAACAGTTTTAAATTTAGTTACTACATGTACCCGTCTTGTTATTCATTATTTTAAAATTAGGTATAAACAATTTCTATTAAATAAGTATAATAATCAGTATTAATAGCATGGGCAAATTTTGACATTTTTTTTTTACTCTGATCGTGCATGATAGTAAGTTTTCGTATGTTTTTTGTTTTTTCGTTCTGTTCTTTTGTTCTCGTCTTCCTGTGTGTGTTTTAGGGGTAGGCTTTTATATAAGGCATCCCTCTGCCTATTCCAAATGCTCTTATAAATTGCCATTGTTTTTGTTATCACTTTCTTATTTTTTTTGTATGTTTTAAATGTTTTTATGAAGAGTGTTGAATAAACTTTGAATTTTTAATTTGAATTGAATTATCACTTACATATATTTTGGTATATTTTAAGATATTTGTTTCATCACTTTCGTTAAATATTGAGTGTCCATCCATTGTGACACTGTGTAAGACAAAACAAAACAGGCAACTTGAAAGTTATGGCTGTAATTTGTAAAAATGAAACTATATGAATTATTATATAAAATATAAATAAAATGGATGTAAGTGAGTAATAAGTGACCATCTAGATATTGAATATTATGCTGACTCTGAAAAATCTCACAATAATATATAAGGTAACATTCCATTAATACCACACCGGTTAGTTTGATAACATTCCATTTATCATTAATTAAATGTCTACAAAATGCTCAGTCCACCTCATATTAACGATAAAGAAAAAAACATTTTCAGTTAACACATCTTCACTTGAAATAGACAGATAGAGTATGACATATTTCCTGATTAGTGAATCCAAAATTTCAGCAAGTCAATATGTTGCAACTCTGCGATAATTATGTTTTATACTTGAAATCTCGGAGTTTGTGGTAGACAATGTTTAACCAGCGTGCATGGCTAGAATACTATGGTTTAACAGCTGATGAGCACCACGTTGTAGCAAGCTCAAAACATTCGATCAGAAATAACTCGGAAGTTGCGTGCTATACGCCTAGAGTTCAAGAATATAGTTTGTCATGTTTGTTAGCAATCCTTACCATAACACCTGATTAAATTATGTTTTGAACAAACTGAATTCAAACTGAAAGTATTCAAATATAACCCCTTTACTTACATATTTAACTATAGTATTTAATAGTACTTTGAGATTTCTTCTAATCAGTATATTACCGAACATGTTTGTTTAAAAAAAACACACACAGTCACACAGATAATACATCAAATAAATCAAGGCTTCTTTTAAAATGCAACAGCTTTGACTATGGCAGTGATAACTCGAGATATTAATGCTGAATTTAATTCAGATCATGTCTAGATGAATCTACATTTGTGAAAATCTCAGCAACACAAAGTATATTTCAGAATTATTCATAAATGTCACATTCTGTTACTATTGTTACTCATATAAGTTGTAGGCTAAATGGGAATATAAGATTTAGATTTGTTAATATATAAATGTTGAAACAACCTCATTAACCTCATTATTTAATTAACAAAATGTTTGATATAAATATGTTGGTTGTTCTAAAAAGATGCAAACTAAAATGGTAATGCCATGAATTGAGTAAAAAAAAAAAAGGTAATACGTTTTACCAGACAAAGTGAATTTATGCCTTAAAAATACCAGGTGAAGACTACTACTTGCTTCATAAAATTAATATATGTTCATCAATGTACAGAAGTTTGACTGTAAAGTCTCAAATCAACTACATCAATAATTATGAACGGATCTGCTTGTAAAACACTAGATACTGCTGAAATATCACTTTGGTTAATAAACATTCAAGCATTTACTAATCTAGAAGCATTGACTTACAAGTAAGTATGAGTACGATAGATACACAGACAGACTCAACAAGAACAGATGAAACAAATGAAAACATGCATCATATGTTTTACAGTATATGTACAACGAACTCCTAGATCCTTTTATTTGAATGTAAAAATAATCAATTTCATGACTGTTTCGTGTCATTATCGCTGAGAAATTCACTAACACGAATGTTAACATAATTGTTAGACTATACCCTTGCACGGGCGATATAAAGTACAACGGTTGCAAATGAACGAATATTTAAAGAGAGAAGTCGCAAAATGTGGCCTATCTAATTGCAGACACTTGGCAGGCTAATCTTTTTGTAAACAGAAGAAGCTATGGTCAAAGTGAAATGGAAAAAAATAGAAGTAAAAAAAGAAAGAAAGAAAAAAAACTATATAAATGTTGTATAAAAAGGACATACGCATTATCATTTACAACATTTTCATTTTAATAACAAAATAACACAAAAATAGCTTTCCCCCCCCCCCCCCCCCCCCCCCCCCCCAGCAACGTGGAGTGTAGTCGTTAAGCAAGATTGCATCTAGACGAAAATATATATATGGATATTTAATAACTTTTATGAGAAAAGTATTACGTAGCCAGATCACGTTTTAGCAAACCCTATAGGGTTATTGTATTTTGTATTGCTTTTATTTGATAAATTTGCACTCCACTCTTTTGGCTTGCCATATAGGTTTTCATGGACTGCCCGCGCAGCGTATCATAGTCAATTGGTATGTAACCAGCTAAAAGCAAACAAAATCTTTCTTCTTCTTCTTCTTCTTCTTCTTCTTCTTCTTCTTCTTCTTCTTTCTTCTTCTTCTTTTTCCTCTTCTTCCTTTTCATCCTCTTTCTCCTCCTCCTTCTTCTTCTTTTTTTTTTCTTCTTCTTTTTCTCCTCTTCTTTTCCATCTTTCTTCTTCTTCTCCCTTTTCTTCATCTCATGTGTCTTCTTCTTCTTTTCCTTCTTTTTCTATTTCTATAAAACACAGGGAACGTTTATAAACTCACGAGCACGGTTTCCTTGGGCGACGTCCTACGACTGCGCTGATCCGCTTTTGGCAAAATATAGACCACACCCACTTTCAGAACGTCCGGTGTTTGTTATTGGTCAAAT